ATATTGGATTCGGAGATCTTTTTTTTGGACCTCGTTTTCGGACACTGATATCTCGAAATCGGTTTGAGATATCAAAAAACTAAATCGACTCTAGATTTCCTACTTTTTTATGAGGAACACGATGAAAAAAACCCGGATCAAAAATATTGAAGGACGACCGAGAAAATCGAAAAAAGTGACAAAGTACTGGATTTGACCTAGTTCTTGACCTTTGACCTAGATAAAAATTTGACCCAATTTCCGAGGAACTAGATACTGGACATAAATTGACTGAATAATGATCTTTATTGGAAGCCTTATGGTTATCGAGAAAACTGGGAAAGAATAACTAGATTTTGGAAATTGAACGAAGTTCAATTTCAGACTACAGATCTAGACTTTTTTTAGCCGAGTCATCCAGAATAAGCCGAGTCATCCAGAATAAGCTGAGTCATCTAGAAAGAGATGGATAAATAAAAAGGGAAGGTAGGATAGGATAGAATAGGAAAGAACGATAGGATAGAATAAGAAAGAAGGATAGGATAGGATAGGATAGAATAGAATAGGAAGAAAGGATAGGATAGGATAGGAAGGATAGGAAGGAAAAGATATGAAGAAAGGATAGATAGGAAGGATAGGATAGGATGAGATAGGAAGGATGGATGAATTTTTCAATATTTTCTTCTCTACTCTTGACTTTCTATCAGGATACCATTAGATCGATTTTTCTCGAAATTTCAAAACGCTATAACTTGGTTTGCAGATTCGGATTCCTGACAAAATTCTACCCCTAATTCATAACACATACGTTAAATTTGGAGATTTTTTATTTTGACCTACTTTTCGGACACGCCATAACTTCCGAACCGGAAGTCGGATCGAAATTTGGTTTGCAGATCCGGATTCCTGACCGAATTCTACCCCTAATTCATAACTCATACGTTAAATTTGGAGATTTTTTATTTTGACCTACTTTTCGGACACGCCATAACTTCCGAACCGGAAGTCGGATCGAAATTTGGTTTGCAGATCCGGATTCCTGACCGAATTCTACCCCTAATTCATAACTCATACGTTAAATTTGGAGATTTTTTATTTTGACCTACTTTTCGGACACGCCATAACTTCCGAACCGGAAGTTGGATCGAAATTTGGTTTGCAGTTCCGGATTCCTGACAAAATTCTACCCCTAATTCATAACTCATACGTTAAATTTGGAGATTTTTTATTTTGACCTACTTTTCTGACATGCCATAACTTCTGAACCGGAAGTCGGATCGAAATTTGGTTTGCAGATCCGGATTCCTGAGAAAATTCTATACCTAATTCATAACTCATACGTTAAATTTGGAGATTTTTTATTTTGATCTACTTTTCGGACATGCCATAACTTCCGAACCGGAAGTCGGATCGAAATTTGATTTGCAGATTCGGATTCCTGACAAAATTCTACCCCTAATTCATAACTCATACGTTAAATTTGGCGAATTTTTATTTTGACCTACTTTTCGGACACGCGATAACTTCGGAACCGGAAGTCGAATTGAAATTTGGTTTGCAGATTCGGATTTCTGACAAAATTCTACCCCTAATTCATAACTCATATGTTAAATTTGGAGAACTTTTTATTTTGACCTACTTTTCGGACACCATATCTCAAAAATGGGTCAAAATACTTTCTGACGGCAAAAGGCTAACACTATAAGCGTACTCTTGGCTACATGTATACAAAATTTCGAAGAATATAATTAATCTGTAGTGTCAGAATCGCAAAAATAAGGAAAAACTTTGAATTTGACCTAGATTTCGACCTAGGAATTTTGGTGTCCAAATTCTGAAGCTAGATGGCTTTTGAGGTCTCCTTCTTTTAAAGGCTTTGATTATATGAAGCTGAACTCAGTCTTTATTCCGTATTTTTCACTTCAAAAAAATATTTTTTCCCATTGACTTAACATGGGCACCAAATTTAGCGATTTTTGAGTTTTCAAAACGCCATAACTTCCGAACTGGAAGTCGGATCGAAATTTCGTTTTCAGATTCGGAATTCTGAGAAAATTTCCTATAAGACTAATATCCTAAATATTCAATTCGGGGAAGTTTTTTTTGGACCTCGTTTTCGGACACTGATATCTCGAAATCGGTTTGAGATATCAAAAAACTAAATCGACCCTAGGTTTCTTACTTTTTTATAAGGAACACAATGAAAAAAACCCGGATCAAAAATATTGAAGGATGACCGAGAAAATCGAAAAAAGTGACAAAGTACTGGATTTGACCTAGTTCTTGACCTTTGACCTAGATAAAAATTTGACCCAATTTCCAGAGAACTAGATACTGAACCTAAATTGACCAAATGATTGACTTTACTGAAGACCTTATGGTTATTGAGAAAACTGGGTTAGAATAATAAGAAGAAGAATAACTAGATTTTGGAAATTGAACGAAGTTCAATTTCAGACTCCAGATCTAGACTTTTTTTAGCCGAGTCATCCAGAATAAGCCGAGTCATCCAGAATAAGCTGAGTCATCTAGAAAGAGATGGATAAATAAAATAGGAAGGTAGGATAGAATAGGAAAGAACGATAGGATAGAATAAGAAAGAAGGATAGGATAGAATAGAATAGGAAGAAAGGATAGGATAGGATAGGAAGGATAGGAAGGAAAAGATATGAAGGAAGGATAGATAGGAAGGATAGGGTAGGATGAGATAGGAGGATGGATGAATTTTTCAATATTTTCTTCTCTACTCTTGACTTTCTATCAGGATACCATCAGATCGATTTTTCTCGAAATTTCAAAACGCTATCACTTCCGAACCGGAAGTCGGATCGAAATTTGGTTTGCAGATTCGGATTCCTGACAAAATTCTACCCCTAATTCATAACTCATACGTTAAATTTGGAGATTTTTTATTTTGACCTACTTTTCGGACACGCCATAACTTCCGAACCGGAAATCGGATCGAAATTTGGTTTGCAGATTCGGATTCCTGACAAAATTCTACCCTTAATTCATAACTCATATATTCAATTTGGAGAACTTTTTATTTTGACCTACTTTTCGGACACCATATCTCAAAAGTGGGTCAAAATACTTTCTGACGGCAAAAGGCTTACACTATTAGCATATTCTTGGCTACATGTATACTTAATTTCGAAGAATATAATTAAAGTGTAGTGTCAGAATCGAAAAAATAAGGAAAACCTATGAATTTGACCTAGATTTTGACCTAGGCATTTCGGTGTCCAAATTGTGAAGCTAGATGGCTTTTGAGGTCCCCTTCTTTTAAAGGCTTTGATTATATGAAGCTGAACTCAGTCTATATTCCGTATTTTTCACTTCAAAAAAATATTTTTTCCCATTGACTTAACATGGGCACCAAATTTAGCGATTTTTGAGTTTTCAAAACGCCATAACTTCCGAACTGGAAGTCAGATCCAAATTTCGTTTTCAGATTCGGAATCCTGAGAAAATATCCTATAAGACTAATATCCTGGACATTTGATTCGGAGAACTTTTTTTTGGACCTCGTTTTCGGACCCTGATATCTCGAAATCGGTTTGAGATATCAAAAAACTAAATCGACCCTAGGTTTCCTACTTTTTTATAAGGAACACAATGAAAAAAACCCGGATCAAAAATATTGAAGGACGACCGAGAAAATCGAAAAAAGTGACAAAGTACTGGATTTGACCTAGTTCTTGACCTTTGACCTAGATAAAAATTTGACCCAATTTCCGAGGAACTAGATACTGAACCTAAATTGACCAAATGATTGACTTTACTGAAAACCTAATGGTTATTGAGAAAACTGGTATAGAATAATAATAAGAAGAAGAAGAAGAATAAGAAAACTGACGAAAACAATAGACTCCAGATTTCATCTGGAGTCTAATAAGAAAACTGGCAAAAGCAATAGACTCCAGATTTTCATCTGGAGTCTAATAATATAATTTGCACGATTAAGGGAAACTGAACTTCAAAATACAGTAGCCCAATGTATGATGTACATGTATATATCACAACTAGTTACCTATTATTACAGCGTATCTTATCATTACCGACCGTCTCTGATTCAAGTTCAAGGTTACATACTAGGTGTTCGTGATATAACCTTTATTCTTTCATATATAATGTAAAACAATTGTCTCATGATCAGCTTAATCGATCAAATATTTATTACCAATAATTCAGCAAGTATCTTGCATCTGGATTCTCCGCAGAATGAAGGTGAATTGAAGAAATAAAGATACAGAGTTACAGGCAACAGAATAGAGAGCCAGAGAGTAGCTTCTTTTATTTAATACCATCAACAGCTATTAGTAGACTATTAGGTATATTATCGTAATTGTATTAAGTTCGCACTTCCCTCCCTAAAGACGTCTTCATTTCGTAGCGTTTAAAGCATGTCAATATTAGAATCAAATATTTTTCCTTTGTGCAATAGTTTGGAAATTGACAACTTTGATGAACAGGCTTGAACACGCGATCCAGAATTGGACTTTCTAGTGACCAGACTTATGGAGGGGGGTAGTTATGTACTGTATAAAAATATCCATTAACGCTTCCGGACAAGGATCATTTCAAATTGAGCAGTCAAATATGATTAAGTCATAAATTTTGTGTCAGTCTGTCCATTATACTAATTAATAGCATTAATAGTTTGTCGAGAAGATTTCAATTATCTTGTCATTCATTTATCACCTGGCAATTTGTTCACAAGACACAGTCCCGTAGCCAGAGGGGGAGCTGGCCAGAAATTCTTTCAAAATCATGCAGTTTTTCACCATTCTGAGAATTTTTCGCATGATTTTTAGCCAAAATTGTGAAAAAGCCCCTCTCCCTGGAAAAAGCTCCCCCTCCTGGTAAAGCTGGCTACAGGCAAGAGACCTATGGCTATCGGTTACCAAGATCGATCAGTTAATGGGTATTATCATGACCATGATGGTAGCATACAAAATATGACAGAATGAAACAATATGCATTTCATGTACCTTTAGTATACCTAGGTCCCTGGGTCCGGGCCCTATGTATATGGTCTAATAGTTGTATATATGTATGGCATGCCTCAGCTATCATCGTTACTTTACCACTCGAACAAATAAATGATTTTTTCGATTAAAATATAATATTGAAGAATATAATATTTGATGAATTAACAAGCTAATTAATTAAAAAATAACTGTTTATAATGGAATAGCAAACGATGTAGTGGAGTGTCATACGATATGATTTTATACCATTCATGAACATAGCCCTATATCTGTATATGTTACTACGATGTACCCATGCTATGAAAAGTACTAGTCTTGCTTCAAGACCCGGGATTATCTACTCTAACAACTGTGTTGTTTAGATAGGAGTCAGGTCCACAGTCTTGACGCAAGACTCATAAAAAGAAACATGTCATTGATCATAAATTAGCCTCTTGATTGTCGTATCTGATTGAGTAGTTGTATCTCAGCTGTGATATGTCATGGTAGAGTTAGGTCTTGCTACATGTACAGGCCTTGGTTTCGGATTTTCAACATGTTCATTCTTATTGTTCTGCTCGGGTGGTGCATTGTTGATAGAGCTATTAAGGGTGATGCCACTGTTGCCGGGTAGTGCAGGTTGAGGGTGTATTCTATGTTTACAGCGAATAAAGATCAGTAATTGTTGTCGAAACCTGCTCCCGCATACTGAATACATCCAAAAATTAATGGCTGAATTGGTATACACCGATATAACTGACATTGTTAAAAGTAACAACAATGAACTCTGCCCGTCGCGGTCATCACTGGCCACAGTTGGTTCAAGGAACCAGTAAATAATACTAGGGAGAGTGGCAATCGCTAGAAAAATGCTGACCGCCACCATCATGACCGTCATTGAAGTGAGCTTGTAACCCGAAGTAGTACTACCTGTAGCGTACAACCTCTTCCGCTGAATCTCCGCATGTACTACCTTTGTAGCGATGACCATGTTACAGCAAACAACAATAGAAACTGGTAACAAAAAGAACGCCGTGAAATCCAGCCAGGGGAATATATATATGACAAAGTGTTTGTAACGGATATCTTGCACCTGGCAGCTGAACATATGTACTTCGTCAGCATTGATTGAGAAAGTCCATAGAAAGTGGCAATTTACCACCATGAGCAAGACGAAGATAACGACTATGGTTATGACGATACGATTTCTTGTTATAATGACCTTAACCCGATGTGGTTTAAGAACGGAAACCAGTCGTTCCAGCACGACTATAGCAACAAGCCAAGCAGAAAAGTCCGTCAATGTATAATTGACAAAAAACACCATCTTGCAGAGTCCTGCCGAATATGATGTGAAGTCATTCCCGGTAACCGCGACGTAAATGAATCTTGGTGGGCCAATAAGCAGACACCCGCTATCGTTTACTGCAAGCACGGATAAGATAAGCCCTGTTGTGTTCCCTTTCAGTTTTGACTTACGGAATACGATGATTGTCATTGCGTTTCCAAACAGTCCTAACAACATTAGAACTGGTAAGCAAACTTTATAAAGTTTCATTGAAAATGCATATTCAGGGAGCTCCGATAATGTAAAGTTTGACATACCGAATACTGATGCGTTGGATTAGTCTTGATTATTGTGTCGAGAATACAAGTTATGTCCCTATTGTCATGCCGTTGCTCTCTTAAATAACTAAGCCAATATCTAGTAGTTAGTTCTTTGCAGCGACTGTCTTCTAATAACAATTGTCCCCAAGAATAAATGTATATTTATACTCGTCTGGGAGGAGCAGAATGTTCCTCTCTTTTAATTATCCAATGCCATCCTATTGGATGACTCCAAGCTTTTCACATTTGGATTATGACGCTCGTTTGGAAACAGATAGATATACGAACATATAGTATATGAGACACTGGTACGCAGTACTAGACTTAGTGTTATTATACATGTCTATTCAGATGATTCAGTCTGTTTGTATGCTAAATCAGCTTGATATGCCAGCAGATTCTCGCTCTTGGGCGTTAATTTTAAAGAAGGCCGTATGATACAGAAATGTCTCCTCTTTTTAAAGGCCCGTGGTGTTTATTGAGTAGGTCGAGAGCTTATAAATAACCAGTAGGCGCATTAGCGAACAACTGCCCCACTTCAGGAAGTTCAGGCCCATTGTGGTCTGAATATTTAGCAGATCGATCTGTGAATCAAATTACGAAATTATGACTTCTCTAAACAAAGGGTATCGAAAATGACTTACTATAAAACACAGAATATTGGAATGCGCAGATAAATTGACAATTTTCAATTTGTCTGGTTTGAAAACAAATCAAGTCAATTTAGCTTCAGGCGTGTTCCATTAACAACAATCTGCACTGAGGACGGTTTTGATGTTCCTTACAAGCAGAAACTTTTAATTAATTGTGCGTCATAATCAGCACCTGAGCCGAAACAAAATATTATTTGTAATGATGCACGTGTTAGGCATGGTTATATTTGTACCTCTACCAGTTAGACCACATGTGGCATTTAACTTATCTATTAGCTAAGTTTTGTAAAAGGGGATCATACTATTAGTTATTAAATGATTTGGAGTGCAATTTACAGGATACATTCTGCTCGAAAAAGGAGTGGTATCGATATGGTGAACTTTTTGAACACACGTTTCTTTTAAACCAGTCATCAAAATATTCTGAAAATTTTACACATCGTCAATTTAATGGTCATCTTTTGAATAGTGACATTATAATTTGAATTATATATGTATATTTTTCTCTATATTGTAATTGTACAAAGGAAAGTTTGGTTGATTTTAAAAAAGTATCTTGTTAATGAATTAAAAGGTTTATCTTAATTTTTATCTATTTAGGGGGGTTTTGTTTTACGTTTTTGCATACTTTTTGTTAAATCAACCAAAATTCCTATAACTAATATTGAGAGGTCTAATTAAGAAAATGTTGTATATCCTATTTTGTTCCAACAAGGTTCGGAAAGACATTTTATTTCATTCTCAAGAATTGGTAGAAAGGAACAAAAAACAATTGCACTAAAAACAGTTAACAAAAACAGTTATATAAAATATATTTAAATAATGTTTGTATGAAATTGTTGCCAATCAGTCAACATTAAATAAAGGATCGTGTTTTTTATAGAATGTTTTCAATAATTGGCTTAAGCATGGGCTTTCAATTAGAAGGGTATGCAACTCTGTGTAATAACATGAGCCTTCAAAATGAGCAATGCCATGCTTCCCTTTTATGGTAAAATTTCAAAAAGTATTAGATAAATGTATATGTTTTTTTGTAGTATTTTGAATAAAAATCAATTTCCAACATGATTAAAGCATTAAATATATTCAATCTCATGTAAACATAAACAAAAAAGACCAATTAGAATAAGAGGTACCAAGATTTTCTCTTCGAGTATTGCATTGTGGGTAATTATTCAAGAAGACATTCCAATAAAAACATAATTTGTGGGAGAATGTTCACTTTCGGTATTGTCATAATTATGATGAATTCCATTTTTTATTAAATTATCAATATGTTTGTGGATAATCATGTTTTTATTTTTTAATTATTTCTTAAATCATCCATAAAAAGTACAAAATAAGATTTTCTTGGAATGTGTACATTCTCCAATTTTGAAAACCCAAAGGCAATGCTTATGTATGAAATATGGGAAGTTGTCTACCCTTCTAGTTTAAGAGAAAATCATTGTTGAATTCAGTTCACCATATCGATTATATCCTTTTGTATTGGCACAAGATGAAGTCTAGGCCAATGTGCTCTTAGGCCAATACATTTTATTTAGGAGATAATCCCTAGGACTGTATTGCTACTGAGATTGTCCCCTCCGTACCGATATTTTCTGTGTTGCGACGGAGATGATCAATGGGGACAATTTCAGTAGCAATACAGATTGGTACAGCACAAGAACTGACCAATCAGAGTTCTTCATTTTACAGATTATACGATGATACTTAGTATATTTTCTGTATTGCGACGGAGATGATCAATGGGGACAATTTCAGTAGCAATACAGATTGGTACAGCACAAGAACTGACCAATCAGAGTTCTTCATTTTACAGATTATACGATGATATTTAGTTACACGTCGCACGAAACTGGGGACAATTAGAGTAACATTATGGCGTCAAAATACCAAACAATACAATGGGCAGTATAGGGTGCAATCAGCATTATAACGTCAAAAACGACAAGCGTTACATTTTGTCAATTTTAGTCAACCTAGAAATAAGATGCTTTATTCTTATTCAATCCTGGTAAAATTCACAGAGCAACAAGATCTCGATGACAATATTTCTAAAATGTTTTTGATTTTTGAAAAACGGTCAGGAAATCCACTCGGGGCGTTAGCAAAAATTGATATGTATGGGATTTGTGGTAAAAAATCGATGCGTTACATTTTTTCAAGTCTCTAAAAGCAACTCTTATTTTCTTATTATTTGAAGAATAAAGAAATCGGTTATTGTTTTGTAAATTTCGCCATGACAGTATTGTGCAGTTAAATTCTTTTTGAAATCAGACCTAAATTAGAAGGTTAAATAAAGGTAAACTTATTGCTAGTCTCCTTCGTCTTCAAAACCTTACACAATTTTGAAAATTTTACAAGCGTTCATATAAGACGATTTGAACTGTAGCCGCTAGGCAATTGTGACGTCATAAAAGCACATGTTTCAATGAATAAAATGTGAAATTTTAGTAAAATTTTGATCAGTATTTCAAAAGTTATCCCGAATTCAACGAACCGTGTAAGCATGGAATGTTACGTCTTACAGCGTATTTGACGATGTCGGAGTACATTTAACTTTAAAAATATGGTAGATCTCATCAAACTTTTCAAGGAAAAATGATTTCAGTGAAATGCGAATAAAAAACACTTCAAAATGATATATAATGCACATAGTTAGCTTTTTAAATAAGGCAGATATTAACGCTTAAAGCTGGGATTACCCCGTATTTCCCGAATTGTCCCCAGGTCCGTGCACGTCATAAGTACTATTAATATTTAGTTATCGGTAGTAATTAGTACTTCCGATTCTGCTACTTGGCTGGGAAATCAAAGTTTTATCAGAAATAGACGTTGCAAATGAATATTGACCAGTTTTTTATCCTTTTATGGAGTTTGCGACTTGGGATTTTCCGTCCCACATTTCCACATCCACGTCCCACATTTGAGACTGTGAATGTTTAATCATTTTGTATTTGCATTTTCGTACAGTTTATTCTTCAAATGCATCGCAATGAATTCAGTATGAATGAAATGCCCCATCTAGTATTCCGGATTTTGATATTGATTCATGGCTTGAGGATAAGTTTTTTCATGGCTAGAGGAGAGTTTTTGAATACATTGTCGGGGTTTGTTTTCCTTGGCTTTATGGATGTTTCTTTTCTTTTTTCTTGCAGTGCTTTGTACTATGCTTTTGTCTTGTCATGTTGTACAGCTTTGAAAAAATATATTTGCAGGGCCAATGTGACATTTAGCAACATTCTACCAATAAAATAGGTTATGCAATTAGAAAAATGAAGAATCGAACTCAAATTACATTTTTGCGTCATAACATCTCTAATATTGGAATCAGACTTATGAAATTAAGCTAGCAGTAAATCCTGTGAAAGTAAAATGAAAAACTCAGAATTAGAATGGTGTAATCAATAAATCTTATTAAAGATCAGGGCAAATGGTTACCTTGTCCTCACTTTTGATGATGACGTCTAATGGCATTTCTTCAGCCTGTATAATGCCCAATAGATACAATACAATACGATATAGATTTAATCGTAGTGAAATATCTAGGTATGTCATACATTGACAAATTAATTTATTTTCAATCCACGGATCAGAGTCGAAACTGTTTTTTCTAAAGAGAGTTTTCAGGGATTATCCGACATTAAAAGACGAGAACCAATTATTTTATTGTTAATTGAAAGCGATAATATTGTCTAGCAGACAGATCAAATAGTGTTGCAATATGTAAATAAGGGTCGGTACAACAAAGCAACTTATCTTTTGAGTAAACGTTGACAAATACAGATGCCTTAGACTTCAAGATGTCCCTAGTCCTACTAGGGACATCTCGCATACCATTGAATAGATTGTCGCGGAATTCTGTACTCATGAATGTTAAAATTATGATGTTAGTTTGAGACCTACCCTTTATTTGAACAGCCCACTTCTTTCCTGTCTCATTTATACAGTTGAAATTGTAATTCTTGAGTTCTTAATTATCGTAAATTCTTCGTTCTATAAGTATAATGTCGAAGCAATTTCAACTTAGAAATTTTAGTTCGTCTGGTCGTTCTGCAAATCTATATGAACACCAAGAAACGAAATTATTATAATAAGATTTCGCTAAAGCTACTAAACGTGTAGCGAGATATCATATTATTTTCATATATTCATATATATTCATATAAGTTATATATATTCATGTAATTGTCCGTTTATCGTTATTAAACTAGTATTGAAATAATGATTTCGATTAGTTAAACACGCGATAAGTTTGACACGCGCACCCCGCGCATGCGCATAAAGAGAATTTTAATTTTCAAAATTAGTTCCAAATTTTTGACAAAAATCTCCTAATTACTCATGAAATACCAAATTACTTCACTAAAACGTAGCAGAGTGATTTCGGAGCATTCAAAGATAGGGTAGGTGCATTATGAGTTTATCGCAGTTTGCTGCTGCGTCATTATAAATATAGGTAGGCCTATGCGTAATGGCCATGATATCATCATGGCCATTGGGAAAGGCTAAGATGCCTGAAAGTGAATCAAAATTGAAAAAATTGCTCGAGAGGGTTCAATAATTTAGGTCACCAAATAATTATAGCTGAGCAAACGAGAGCTACAAAGTCTGTTCCTTTTAACGTTTAAACGTATACTCTAAATGTGTGCCTCCGCACACTCTAAATGTCATATTTCATTCCACAGCAATCAGACAAACTAATTAAATTGCCATGATTAGAAACGTCTTGGGTTCAAATGAAGCACGAAAGCATGAGTATTGTTTTACCTTAGGCTTTGTGTCTGGGAAGAATCTTTCTTGAAATCCTATATCTAATTTAATGGTTTTGAGCAGTGTTGAGAGGAATTTTTAATCCGGACCAGTACAAAAGCTTTTTATCCCATAATATCTATGACTCTCTTCATAAAAGCATTTGTACAAAATCCATATCTGCTTTTTGTATGAAACAAAACCATATTTGGTCTACAGAATAAGACTTTACGACATTTTGAAGTATAAAAATAAACATTGACACATCAACATACAAATATATAACAATACGTATGTCCGTCACAAGGCACTTGCATATTGGTCAAATTTCCATGACTTTGACTGTCCGTGTCAGTGCATGCTCGCGAAATTAAAATTCGCCTATGTTTAATAAGCTTACATCCTCATACTTCTTACGTTTCAAAATCTGTTCACATAAGAACATATATAGCACTCTATATTTGAACCCAACTGAACGTAGGAGTAAAACTCCACAGCCTTGACTTCAGACTTCATTTGGACCTGAAAGGCTAGGTGTAGCATTTTTCGCAATGTGATTTCAGACACTTCGCCATAATTTTAAAAATTTGATCTACATCTTATTTACAAATAAATCTCATTATCAGATAAATATCGGCTGTTGGAGTATTCATTATTTGAGTGATAGTGAATGCAATTTTCGAAAATCTACTCAGTACTTTAACAGCAGGTCCCTTTGACTTTGACTTATAATAGGTTAAGCGTTTTACTTCTTGGAACACTCCCCCTGCCCTACAAACAGCAAATATAAATGACAGATGTGTTACAGCCCGGGGCTTGTAGAAATACTTTATTTTCTTACCGTGTATATATATGCTAGGACGTAATTCGTCATTCGGTGGCCCAGGTACTCAGTTTTGGCTCCATTTTTATATACCAACAAAGTCCACTCACGCTGCACACCTGTTGAATTATGCAAATACAGGGTGACCCAAAAAGCAGAAACCATGAATTTTATTCAAAGATAATTGTGATTTCTGTTTTGGGGGTCACTCTGTATTTATCTGCTGGTTGAACCACCCTAAAGTAGAACGATTTAGTATGTATGCAATAACCGGTAACCTTATTTTCTAGGTACAGAACTAAGAATGATATACATGTAATTGGATATTAACCATTTAAGTTGTTTAATAAAGTTTACTCCGAAAATAAGGATAATTACATGATTGCTATCAAATAAATCAAAATACTTCTTAACGGTTTTGTTTTCGGTCACCCTGTATGAAGTGTCATTAATTAGATGGCAGCCACTTAAAATCATCCATTCAACGCGTTCTAAATCAATCGTTATTCATCTTACCGGGCATATCCTAATTTTTTGAAAAACAACGTTCAAAAATATGATTCATGAAAGGACTGAAAAATTGCCATATTAGTATGGGAGCAAAGGTAATTCCGTGTCCTTTTTAGAGGCGAGCTAAGCGACATATATTTTTATGAACTATATGAGATACTTTCCAAGAAAAATGATGTTGGCAATTCTGAATCCGCGACGGCGTTGCTATGGTAACCAAGTAAATGGGCCACGCCCACTTTTGGGGGCTCTTTTCAGTGTTTGGCCCTAATCTACTTCATTATTGCTCAGATTTCGATGAGATTCACATCAAATGGAAGGTAATAGATAACGCACTCAAAATATATTAAGTTGGCAATTCTGAATCCGCGGCAGCGTTACTATGGTAACAAAGTAAATATGCCACACCCACTTTTAGGGGCTCTTTTCAGTGTTTGGCCCATATCTTTGTCATTATTGCTCAGATTTTGATGAAATTTGCACCAAATGAAAGGTAATAGATGAAGCAATCATACAGTTCATAAAATATGCAAATAGGGTGATTTGCATCTTAATTATGACGTCATAACTGTTTATTTTTGTGTATTTTATTTTAATCATAATGTATAAATCTGCGAAATGATTATTTTTAAAATGGTCAGTAATGCTTTTAACTAGTTTATTAGTTAATTTATTTTAGTTGAGTTTATTAGTTTATTACATTCATACATGTATGGTCATAAAACATTGAATAAATGTAATGAAAGTGACCAATTCATGCTGTTGCTATGGTAACAGCAAGTAGCAAAACGATCCGCTGTAAACAAGAGAATTCTTTAGGAAATGTTACATTTTGACCATTTGACTGTCATGTATTCTTTTTAAAATTTGGTGACAGAAAATAACCTAATAACTAGAGAAAATTATTTAATTTGGATTGTGTTATATTAAGATGTCATAAGGGCAATTGTTAATCAGGGGCGCAGCAAGCTCTCAGTCGGGGGGGGGGGGTGCTTCGACACAATTTTTTTTAAAGATTTTGTTTAATTTGACAAAAATTGATGCAACTTCCTTCAAAACTGAGCTAGAAGGTTCGAGTCAAATGCATTTTAAAACTCTTCTTCTATCTAATGGTTCTATTTTTTATTGGTTACAGGGGGTGCACTCATTTCACCCCCTGGCTATGCCTATGTTAGCTATGGTAACCAGGTAAATATGCCGTCCCCATTTTTCAAGACTTTTCCAAAGTTATGCTTCTATCTTTGTCATCATGATAGCTCTGGTGTATATGAAATTTTCATCAAATGGAAGCTAAAGTTTGGTTATCTTGCTGGGTTTCTTTACAGTGTTTGGTCCTTTCCTTTGGTATTTGCGCTTAGATATTCATACTTGTAAAGAAATAGAAAAAGAATCAATCATAGTTTTCAGCTTTGACCTCATTTTATGGTGAATGTCAAAGGACAAGGTACCAATTTGGAATAATTTTGAGCAATTCTACCTTATTTTAAGAAAATAATCACAAAAGCAACTATGATACCAAAACGAGTATGCCAGTCAGTTAATCTACAATATCCATGCATTTTCTGATTCACCTGGCATATTCACCTGGTTACCATAGCAACATCATATTGGATTAACATACCCCCCCCACCCATAAACAATAAGATAGAACCATTAGATAGAAGAAGAGATTTAACCCATTAGTGTCTATGTCCCGAATGTGGCACGTTTTTTGAGTATATTGGAAGATGTCAGCACTGTATCATTAGTACTTTATATTTCTTACAAAAGAAGATACTAGTATAGTAGATTTCTCTAAAGTTCAAGGTCATTTTGTTTTTTGCAGGCATCTTTTGAATTTTTTCACAGGAAAGGGCCCAATGTCCCTCAAATTGATATATCAGTCCATAGGCCATAGGGGGCCACTACCATGCTATTGAGGGCCACTTGCATGTTTTTGATGCCATCGGGGCCACTTAAATTTCTTTTGGGACCACAGGGGTCTACTAGGATGCATTTGGGGGCCAAGGGGGTCCACTGGAATACGTTTGGGACTTGGGGGCCACTGGGATGCTTTAAGGGGTCACAGGGGGCCACCAGGGTGCTTTTGATGGCCATGAGGAGCCGTTTGCATGCTTCTGGCAGCCTCTTGCGGGCCACTAGTATGGTTTTGGGGGCCAACGGGGGCTAATAGGATGCTTTCAAGGGCTACTTAGATGCTTTTAGGGGGTATAATGGGGCCCTTGGATGCGTTTTTGGCCACTGGGTGTCACTAGTATGCTTTTTGGGGGCCACTAAAATGATTTTGGGGTCCACAGAGGCCCTTTGGAGTGCTTTTAGAGGCCACCTGGGGCCACTGAGATGGGATGCCAATGGGATGCTTTCGGGGGCCACTAGGATGCTTTATAGGGGGCATAGTGGGGCCACTTGTATGCTTTTTGGGCCACTGGGTGTCACTAGTATGCTTTGTGGGGGCCACTGGAGGGGAAATGGGAAGCTTTTGGGGCCACTGGGGGCAACTAGAACGATTTTAGAGCCCATTGAAGTGCTTTTAGAGGCCACTGAGATGCTTTTTTTTGGGCCACAGGGGTCAATAGGATGCTTTCAGGGCCAATAGGATGCTTTCGGGGGCCACTAGGATGCTTTTAAGGGGCATAATGGGGCCACTTGGATGCTTTTTTGGGCCACTGGGCGTCACTAGTATGCTTTTTGGGGGTCATTGGGGGGCAACTGAGAAGCTTTTGAGGCCTCTAGAATGAGTTTGGGGCCTTTGGAGTGCTTTTAGAGGCCACTTGGGGCAATGTTTTGGGACCACAGGGGGCCACTGGGTTGATGTCATGAGTCACAGAGGGGTACTAGGATACTTTTGAGGGCCTCATAGCAGCACTAATTTGTTTTTGGGGGCCACTGGGGACAACTATGATGCTTTTGAGGACCACACGGGGCCACTATGATGCTTTTTGGGGGCATCTAGGGGCTATTGGGATGCTTTTTGGGGCATCTGAGGGCCACTAGGATGATTGGGGGAGTCGTATGAGCTGCAAGTATGCATAGGGGGGCCACAGGGGCCACTAGAATGCATTTGGGGGCCACTTTGGGGCACTGGGATGCTTTTTCGGATCATATGGGGCCACTGCCGTGCTTTTGAATGTCACTGGGGCCTATTTAGTATTGAATTATAACAAACAGACTAAGTTGAAGTTAATGACAGTGTAAAATTACATGATTGTTAAAGTTATGATATTATAAATAGGTTTTACAACCACGAAATCATTACCACTTAACCCAAAATGTTTCATGGACACTTGTCTCTAGAACAAAAACTAATTTTTTCTTAGTTATGCTTTCCAGGTTAGAAAAACAAAAAAATTATTTTAAAAATACTGATGCATTCAATTTGTTGTCATTATTGGGTTAAAATGCTTTTGACTTGAAGCTTCTAGCTCAATTTTGAAGGAAGTTGCATCAATTTTTGTAAGTGTGCGCCAAAGTTTAAAACTGCGCAGGCGCAGCGCTCTCGCTAACCTATATAAAGAGATTACAGGGTACAGGCTTCAGAGGTAAGCCAGGAAGGTGAACAACTATCGTCCCATGTTGATTTCCCGTATAATCGTAACCAGGCAAGTTTCACCATTGGAATTGAAAATTACTATTAGATATACTTTGTAGATGTTTATATATGAAGGTATTTTAAGTGTATGCATCAATCAAATGGCTCATTTTGAACATATAAAAAGTATTTGTGTTTTGTTTCCCAGGGAATTGTATTCCCATGTTGTACACACATAAATAGTGTACATTATGTTGTACTTGAATAGCCTGGCTTATATAATATTGAAGGGCATGCTGATTGTACACACGAGTACATGCATGAAGGCCAAATATTGATATTGCTTGCATACCTAAAGTAAAAATGAACTCTTCTAATCCCCTAATGTAAACACGGCGGTATACGTAGCCCGATTTATCGGGGGCTTTAAACAATTTTTGGGTTGCTTATGCCAAGATCGCTCCCCCCACCCGACTGAAAGCTGGCTGCACCCCTGATTAATAATTGCCCTTATGACATGATAATATAACACAATCCAAATTAAATAATTTTCTATAGTTATTAGATTATTTTGTCATCAAATTTTTAAAAGAATACATGTCAGTCAACTGGTCAAAATGTAACATTTCCTAAAGAATTCTTGTTTACAGCGGACAGTTTTGCTACATGATGTTACCATAGCAACAGTGTGAATTGAACATTTTTATTTGAATTAGACATATTTCATTACAGTTATTAAATTTTTCTATGACCGTAAATGTATGAATGAAATAAACTTATAAACTCAACTCAAAGAAATAAACTAGTTGAAAGCATTACTGACCATTTTAAAGACAGTAATTTCACAGAGTTATACATCATGATTAAGATAAAACATGCAAGAACAAACAGTTATGATATCATATTTAAGATGCAAATCACCCTAATTGCATATTTTGTAAAGTATATGATTGCTTTATCTATTACCTTTCATTTGGTGCAAATTTCATCGAAATCTGAGCAATAATGACGAAGATATGGGCCAAACACTGAAAAGAGCCCCTAAAAGTGGGTGTGGCATATTTACTTGGTTACCATAGTGACGCTGCCGCGGATTCAGAATTGCCAACTTAATATATTTTGATTGCATTATCTATTACCTTCCATTTGGTGTGAATTTCATCGAAATCTGAGCAATAATGAAGGAGATAGGGGCCAAACACTGAAAAGAGCCCCTAAAAGTGGGCGTGGCTTATTCACTTGGTTACCATAGCAACGCCGTCGCGGATCCAGAATTGCCAACATAATTTTTCTTGGTAAGTATCACGTATAGTTCATAAAAATGTATGTCGCTTAGCTCGCCTCTAAAAAGGACACGGAACCTCTTATTTGGACTTTTGCTCCCAGACTATATTTAAGCATATCTTTAAGAGCAGTTTTCTCGATACACTGAGTATGGTTGCCAAATATTTGTGGGAAGGTTGACGCATTGGTAAGAGAGGAGGTGAAACTATCATTATGATACATCCTAAATACAAACGTAATTTTATTTTATTGTTAGAAATACCTTCATTCCTTGCTAATTCTTTGTTTCTGTCTATGGTTAAATCGACTGTTCCAAACACAACATCTATCCCAAGTGAATAGTACGCACATATCTATGTTAAACAGAGTCATCATTAGATGGGATATCATTGGAGAGTAGAAAGAGACATACGATTATTAGCTCCATCTTTTTTACAAAATAAAACAAATTAATGTAATCTCTCTGAGTAATTTCGTGGCAACATTTGCTCCGATCTTCAACACCATCGCCCAGCATACTCATCGCAGGGTTCAAGAAGATACCCAATATAAATGAAATAAATTGCTCGTTATATTTCTGTAAAGCAATGAACCAAACCTACACTTTATATTTAACCTTTTGAATCCCAGACTCTTAAATCAATTTGAAACTAGAGATCTAGAATTTATTATTTTTGCTAGCTTTTGATATTTTACTACATACGATACATGATGCTCTATTTAGTGAACCTAGTCTACAGAGATCATTTCTACATGTTTTAATTTGTTTAAGTTGGACAAAAATTGTTCAAATTAGAGCAATTTTAGTGAAAATGTTGTGACAGGTTATCTTGTCACTCTAGGTTTCAAAGTAATTTTTTAGGTGACGAGAAATGTTGTCACTCTGGGTAGTCAAGAGGTTAAAGAATTCATTTACACCAGCACATTTTACAAGGAACGTTTTTGGACGTTTACTCTCATCTACATTAACTTTTATATCTGCAAACGTGATGGAGGAGACCTTATATATAATATAGTCTTCCTACTCAATGAACACCAGCTATAAAAGACGTCTTGGTACAATTGGAAAACTTTAAATTATTCAAGTAGGATTACCTCAAGCATTCTCTCATTCGCATCTAGTATACGACGAAGTTCTTCACCACCTTCCTTTTTTACTACAAACATAACTAAAAATATCTTATGTTTTTCTCGTAGCTTTTTGAAATTTGTTTCATCGACCTCAATAAGTCTACGTTTCTCATCTGTCTGTCCGATGCGGAATTCAATTGGTTTGCGAAGTATGTCACCAAACACCTGTTGAGCAATGAACCACAACACGATGAGGAGCATTATTGTTAGTTCCACCCAACGTGGCATGCACATGTTCTTAAAAATCCTGCAACTATGATGCACTTGACAAAAATATAACTCGAAATATGTAAATCACATTAATACGGGTCCTGCTTTATGTAAATCCAGTATGTATGCTATTTAACGATTTGATTATGTCTACAAACGATAGCCTGTTAAATCACAGTCAATGGACGATTGAGACAATGTGTTAAACTGTTATTTAAGCTGTAAAGTACTACATGACTCCAGGCTATACAACAACAGATATATTTTACTACTTTTACTGCAACAAGTACATCTGCTATATATTTTGCTTTATTGTTGGTACCTTGATCAGTCTAAATATATCATGATTGGCAATATGCAATATATCGTTCCCATAGGGTTTTTCTTAGTTGTATTTCTGCGTTTTTGACAATAATACATCCAATGACACATTGAAAACATGACCATCTAACGAGTGTAATTGATAATAATAAGTAAAGTCGGAATATTTCGGCAAACAGTCTGGATTGCCCAACTGTTCTGACAAGCCAAGTGTTCCTAGTTCACTTATTTCATCATATCTTAAAATTCACAAGAGAGGGTTCGAAAAATAAAATGTTGCTGGAGAAATGCTAGGTCACAAGAGTCGGAATACTCGGGTAGCCAAGAACACTTTGAGCTTCAAATGCGTACATTATACTTGATATGCATATCGGAGAAAGATGTATCATCCAATTCTCTGAAACTCACTCAATTCAATGCAAAATGATCAGAGCATGCTTTCACTGACATAACTTATATGTAAGCTGTTGAACCCCATAAATATGAATAAGAATGGGGCAGAGGCATATAAAACATATACAAATGTTTTATATGTCTCTGATTGGGGCCATGGGGACATGGCTATTCAATAGAGATCTACCATCTGTCAATCACGTTACTCAATCTTAGACAAGATTTTGTACCGAAAGGATTGTCCCTACTGAAATAATGTTTTTGTGTAACTGAAAAGGCCAGCGATTGCTACTAGAATGTGTGAAACAAGTTGAATAGAATTGTGTGATAGATTGTGTAAACACGTTGAATCATGGGCTTTCAACACTCTCTTGAAAACCCATGGTTGAATGGAGTTATGGTGTAGTAATTGTAGGTAGTTTTTATACACTCTACTATACCTAACCCCTAGAAATGCATAAGATACTCTGTTTGTCCAATTGTATTGTTTAGTATATTTTTGAAAGTACCTTATTAACATCTGATGTCATCCGATAAACCATTGATAAGGAACAGACAAATAAAAACAAATAACAAGGTAATACACGCATTGGTTATTTACGTGACACAACTACGAAATGTGTATCAGAAACCATCAACGCAAGAGATAAGGAAGATACAAGGGAGTCGATATATATATTTGTCGTGCATTTATACAGTTAGACACCTCACGTGCATATATGAATTATTTTTATTATGCGTATATCAGTTACAAATTATACAATTATAAACTAACATAAGTATAAAGTAAGATAAAGGAAATTAATCTCTCAATTACTTCTAGTCATGATGGTGAGAAACGTCTTACAATTCTGACTCTGCATGGAGGTCATCACTAATGATATAGAAGTGAGTTAAATACTCCCCAACCCTTAACGAAGACTATGAAAAAAGCCAACTTTTTAACAATTTCTTGGCAGTCTCAGGTATTTTGATGAGAGTCTATTGCTCATGGGTAAATAATTCACATAAAACTAAAAATGTTCCCAACAAAAGTTTCCTTCATTGAAGTACAATGGGCAAACTATTGTCAGAGGGATAGCACCTTGCTTTTAGCTTAAACATTAGTAAAATAGATTACATAAGATTATTATTCAGACTTACATAGACTTATTTGTTAAATATACTTACAAAGACTTACATGTCAGCCATCGTATGTTTTGCTGCATGGCATTAATAGTATGTAAAATAATGTTTAAGAATCATAAACGAAATTGAAATTGGTCTCTTCAAGCAAGGCAATCGTCTCAAGTCGATACAATGCTGTTGTTGAAGAACAAATGACATGTATTCACGATACAACACCATTGCTGATTTAGCACCGAAATTAGCAAATTAGTTGACAATCATATACAGGTCAACTGTTAAGTACAATGGTAAATATTAAAGAATAATATATCTACATGTAGGTTAATAATCATTGACAGGTGAACAATCATACGCATGTGAAAACTCACAGACAGGTGAAAACCATATACAGGTAGGTGAACAATAGTTTAGTGTTGAACAATAATGTACAGGTATAAAAATCTCCACCAGAAACTTTTCCAGCTGTACATGTACAGCTCGAGAAAAATGTTCTTTCAAAAGTCCACAGCATAGGTTTGTTCGTGGTAGTTTTCCATCCACCATTTTCTGATCGCGAACAATGCATCCAAGGCATGGACAGCCGTTGCTATGAAACCGAATATCTGAAACATACGTTACGTTCATAAACAAATTGCAAAAGTTTTGAATACTATCAAATAATATAGACCCTCAATGATATTGGTCTTATACATATACAGGGCATATAGAAAAACGCAACAAGTAGTTATCTCGTAAAATCACAAAACTGGTGATGACTACATCAATTTCATTCAATGTACCATAAAGCCACATCACTCCTCTTTGCAATAATATGTCATTCATTCACATGTGGTCATGGTTAGGTGGGAAATTCTTCCATTTGCACAGTGGGTCAAAATCGGCTCTGTACCAAGTTTCAGATATTGCAAAAAACAGTGCAAGGGCTAAGTGCAAATGGAAGTTCTCCTGACTTGATTTGTTGTGACTTTTTCTTTTGGAGCTATCTCAGGAGCATCTGTGCTCACAATTTCTCCACCAGATATTGCAAAACTTCGATAAAAATTGCCCATGGGCTGCTTTTCTCAGATGATTCAGGGCTGAACAATGCATGACGTGGAGATATGAGCGCATCTTTATGTGCAAAGAAGTGGTGGCAATTTGGAGGGGTAATAGGATGTATTCTTGCAAGAGTATGAGTATGAACACTTTACTGTCTATGCCACACCTGTCACACCTTTTTCCAATAGCTCTTATGCCCCTTGCATGTCTTTTGCAATGTTTAAAACTTGGGTCCAAGCTGAATTTTACCCCACTTTGCGAAAAGAGGAGACACATAGCTTTATGGTACATTGAAGGAAATCAATGCTGTTATCACTGGTTTTGTGCTTTTGTACTTACATACGCTCCAACGAATCCTTCATACTTGCATCCAGGGTTCCAGTGGTACGTTACACGACATAGTAATGCTGATGCGATTAACAGTAAAACGGTGGCAAAAATGTTCCAGACAATCTCCTGCAAAAAATATTTCACAGAAATATAGTCAGAACCCCCATCTTCGAATTTCAAGGTGGTTACAGTTGGGGCAACTGATGAAACCTTGTGAATCAAGATGAGAAACCCATTCCCTCATTCGATGCTACGGTAAGTTATATACACAGACCAAGGCCTTTTGGCCAATGAAATAGTTGTTCGGAAACCTTGTTACTATGTACCTGTTTTAATACTTGATTTTCCATCGTCATGTCTGTAATTTTTCTCACTAACAATATCCCAGATGCGAGTAGAAATAATCTTGATTTACGTCATTAACAATTCACAATTCAGTCAAACTGATGCCATATTTGGAATCTACATGTAATATTACATTTAGAAATGTGGTTTTGAAAAGAGTTTATCAACTTTGAAAATTTAATTTTGTTTGAAAATGTGACTTCTAGGTCGGGGAGATTCCCCATAGACCCAATGTTGTAAAACCACAAAAAGTGAAATATCTTTTCTTGTGTTGGGTAGATAATATTTTCTTTTACTGGACATATTTTAATTTGTATAACTATCAGATACATAAAGGTAATATGAAAAGTGAACCACTAAAACTGATGCATATTCAAGTTTAAGGGAATTTTGTAATACCCTGCCACGTTAATTCCCCCGAATCAGCCACCTGGTGGCGAAACTGGTAACTACCTACTCGCATCTGAGTAATTGAACATGTATTGAAGGTGTATTCAATTACAAGTACTTTGTAAAAAGGAAACTGTACTGTTCACACATACACTACTACTAACTTTACCATCTTCAGAAACTGTTGTTGTTCAAAGATGGTACCCGTTCCATAAGTCATCGAAACGTCGAGATAAAGTTATTTGAGTAGTGATGTTCTAAAAACAGCTACATTTTTGAATTACATAATCTACCCAGTGAATATCTTTAGTGAAGGTACAGTAACTATATTCAGGGATACATTAATTGTAAATACATCGATCTTTGCACTTACAGCAAAGTTCCATACAAGAAGCGAGACCTGTTCATCGACCATACATATAATGGCAAGGCAGAGCAAAGAGGTTATGACACAGTTGGCAATGGCGATGACTTGCATGAAACGGAAGATGTGTTCAGATTCCCAACAATGTCGCCAGTACGCTGCACTTACCGCCACAGCGGCACATGCTGACAGAAACTGTAAAATAAAATGGTGAGTGAAGGGGTAAGTGTTTACTTTATCAAGTTGCTTTCATTATTCGACTAGGTGACAATATGCATAGCTGAAATTTATGAACACCTTGCAACTTTACTGTTGACAAAATAAAAAGCCACTGACATGAAACGAATACATATATTCTTCTAATATTCTTATCTATTATTATATTTATTCCAAAAGTAGTTTCAGTTTCTTGAAAAGTTCAAGGTCATGGTGTAAGCTGGCTACTTAAAATTTGCTAGATGTTTTTTTTAGATCAAGGGAACTTTTGACTATCTAAAATCATTTCCTTTGATATTAATAGTCTAACAAATCCATTTAAATTTTCGTTAATTTTTTTTTCAAAACAATGAAACTTAAAATTCGACGTAATGTATCTTACATCAATCCTAAAAGCGATTATTGAAAATCAAAACATCCGCCATTTTGATTAGTGACTCATCATGTCCTGTTTGTATTTCGTCCAGTGATACTCACAATTTGTAAGATCTTGGTTCCTCCAGTTATATATTTGGCGTATTTTATGTCCGTTTTTAGTTTTGCCCCTGGCTTCATTGGAAGAGCTGGATTTCCTACACCTCTTGCGTGATCTCCCATGGTGTTCTTTTTTAAGCGAAAGTGACAGATAGTAGTAGCTGACTTCAATTGTTACATTTTTTGTAATCCTATATATTGTTTTTACGTAGCGACTCTGCAAGATCGTAAACACAAACTATTCTTTGTTGAATAAAAGATAAATAAAAGATATAACGATATCAACAAAATTACGAATGTATATTAAAAAATATGTATGTGAAATAATGTAAATAAAGACATTACCTTAACTCACCTTAGTTGTTGAGACGGACTTTGACCGGTTTTACAGTTGCATAGATAAGAGAACCAAGGCAAATCACTTCTGTTTAATGAATAACAAATATGGTATACATACATATTCAAATCAGTTGATCGTTATTAACAATAATATTCAAATGATAAAAATTAATATTTAACTCGTCATTTCTCAAGCGTATACTAAATGACAAATTATTTAATGGGAAGACTTTATTTCATAGTATGGGATATTTGTAAGGTTTATCATAAAAACGAGCAAGATATTTGGTATAAACAAAAAAGATACTTCTACCAAATGGGATAGATCAAACTTAGCAGATCATTTTAAACCATTAACAATCGAAACCAGAGTGAGTAGTTGTCACCTTGTTATTCAATTGCGATATGGATACATAATCTTAGGTGGAACAACAGATGTTATTCCGGGGATGTTATTCAACTAAATGGGACATTTTCATAATATATTTGCAATTAATACGGCACAAGTTCAGAGAAACTACTACAATCTAATAAGCAGTTATCCTAGAATGTCCTAACTTGTCCATAACCAAATATCCCAAGGTTAACAAAGGAGTGGTATCGATATGGAGAACTGAATTCAACAATAGTCCACCCGCTATGGCTCAGTGGCAGAGTCAAGGTTACCAATATCGCTTGGCCCCGGGTTCGATTCCCGGTTCAGACAAGTTTGTTTGTGCGTTATGTAATTCTGGGTGTTTGACTGAGTGGTTCACGACTCGTATAAAAGGCTGTGGTGTGTACCTGTATGTCTGTGTACCTGTGCACACAAAAGAACACAGGGCTCTTCCAAGGAGTGGTTTCTGGCTCTGTCTTCGAGTGTAAAATACGTAAAATACGGAATATACCAATGAGGTATTGCTCGCCAAATATGGCGGTAACCAAGATATAATAATAAAAAAACAATGTTATTCTCTTAAACCAATCATTGAAAACATTCTCTAAAAAACACGGTATTTAATGTAATGTTGACTGATTGACAACAATTTAATGCGAAAATTATTTAGATACGTGTTTTTGTTAACTTTTTTTTGTTTTTTTTAGTGCAATTGTTTTTGCTCCTTTCTACCAATTCTTGAGGAAATAAAATGTATTTCCGAACCTTGTTGGAACAAAATAGCATATACAACATGTTTTTAGACCTCTCAATATTATAGTTATACAAAGAAACTTTTGGTTGATTTTAAAAAAAGTATTCAAAAAATTAAAACAAAATCCCCCAAAATAGATGAAAATCAAGATAAACCTTTTATTTCATTAACAAGATACTTTTTTAAAACAACCAAATTTTCATTTGTACAATTACAATACTTATCTAGAGACCTAAACATGTTGTGTTTGGTTTATGTCGCTTTGTTCCAATGAGGTTCAGAAAGATGTTTCATTTCACTCTGGAAACATGATACCAAGAACAAAACAAGCGTTTGATGTGTTTTCTAAAATAATATAGATGAAAGTATATATATATTTTTCAAATTATATTGTTACCATTCAAAAGAAGACCATTAAATTGACGATGCGTAAAGATTTTAGATTTTTTATGACTGGTTTAAGAGAAACGTGTGTTCAAAAAGTTCTCCATATCGATACCACTCCTTTGCCAAAACAATTGCTCCTAAATTTCACAATATATCTTCAATGTTTGGAAAATGATTCTTTCTGCCACAAATCATTCAACTATTTCACAACTAAGCCCGTATTTCACTCTACCATGAAAAGTGCGATTTCTACGCATGGTGATTCAAATCAACAATATATGGAAGGAAATTCACGACAGCTTCTCATTTTATCCACATTTTCCTATGATGGATGTTTGGCATTTTGAAATCTTGGTTTTACAATGGGAGAGGCAGAGATTAACAAGTTGTATACCATTTGAAATGTACATTTAAAATGTAGATTGAAGCCTATGAGAGATCCAATAGATGCATAGACATAGACATAGATTTAATCCCGAAGTGATGTTAGCAACAAACGTTAATCATTAGCTTGTGAATGACTAAAAAGTGGTAGAACTCTCCGTACTTTTTGTTCCATTGAAATGCATTATTTAATTGACAACGTTCAAATTAGAATTTCTCAAATCGCAGCCCATCGATTTTCAAAGTACTTCAGAGAAATAAAGAGAAACATCTCACCTTTATATAAAAAATCAACAAAAATATTCTGCTCTCTTACATAGATGGAGTACCAAAACGTCATCATATTTATATATATATGTACATTGACCAATTCACCACTACCAAGCTCATCCATCCGCAGAAAATAATACCAAATATTTTACCGATCACTGTTATGATCACATGTTTTCCAGTTGTTCTGGGCATTATACAGAGTGTTCTATCCAAATATGGTGCTGTAGTATACCACTGAAGTCCCAAAACAGGTTTTTAATAGAACTACTTTCCTCATACCGTGGCACGAAATAAACAAACCGAGTAAGGATAGTACACTCAAAGCGGAGCAAAAATTTGAGATTTCAGGTGTGTATCTTCTAATTTGGTACCAATACCATAATCTTTGATTAATGCTAAAGGACAATCATTGATTGCCTTATAAGACTCATTTTCCGGAACTGGATTCGTATGCCAACTTATATTTTTAATTTATATGTACTTTAACAGTATGTGTTCAATTATATTCTATCGATGAATGAGATTTAATTGCAATTTGCAGAGTATTGTCTAATTGTATTTCCATTTCATTCTTACTATAATGATAGCTGGGATGGTCGTAATTACTAGTAATTACCTTTGGCTTATTATTAATTAATCTCAAACAATTCTTAATTCAATTTTCATTTCTTCTAATCTGCTTTTATAATTATATGTGATAGAGAAGTCTCTCTGCATCTGTTTCGTAGTTTTTTGTTCCTGTTTATGCATCACTTTCAAGAACGATATACCATCCCGTGGTTCAAAATAACAATATGATCATTCCTCCAACCAATCAAAATGCGAGAAAATACTTGAGAATAAGTGCAGGTGTGATATGTACACATTTTTTGAATTTCTTGCTGTCTATTTGCCTAATGTTTCCTACTCTTTACTCTTTAAGAGTGGGAGTGATGTGAATAACATACGAGGAGGAAGTCGGAAATATTTTATTTCATTTAGTGCTACATAAGGACAAGACATACGCTTACTAAGTTGCGTACCAACAGAGGAACAATGAAAACTAAATCAACTATGCAGGGTTTTACCATTTTTGTGGTGTTGTTTACTCTAACTATTGATGTGATTGCAGGTAAGTGTGAAACGTATTATGATTTAGTAGAATTAAAAAAGTCCATTTAAACTCACATGCAGTGCACCTCATCTGTAAAGCCTAAAGATAAAAAATTAAATTGAAACCTTACATGGGACATTCAAGAATAAATGGAGGATACATAGTTTTCGCTGAACAGTAAAAATAACTTAACTTCTAATTATGTATCTGTCTTTTAGTTACATCGACAAAGAAGGGGGTCGCAATGTCACCAAAGAGAACGTTTTGCGACGATCTAAAACCTTTTGATAACGTCAAGTGGTGGTGAGTAGTTTTATATGTTTTATATTCTGTTCTAAAATCAATAAAATTTACGATACAAAGAGTCATCAGCGAAAAGAGAAAATAAGTACTCACTGGAGATCTAACTAAAAAAATCATGTGAAAACAAAATACTGATTTTTAGTTTAGATTTCCAAACCAGAATTTATCTTTTAATATCCAGCTATAACACATTTCAAAACAGAAGTCTCTATGTCGTGCATTGTTTTGAACTGGGCAGCTTTTTAACTTACTTTGCACTTCCATCATTTCCATGCAACGATATTTGATCTAGCTATGAACCAAATGCCATGGGGGCCATAATAATGTCACGCGCTTAAAGAGGTAATGTCAGGTCACTGGCTTTGTCTGCGCTTGCCTTAGTAACCATATCCATTTTTGAAAAACACATACCAGAGGGATGATCATTTTGAATCTAAGTTAACATACAATGGAAAACTATCTCTTTTGACGTCAAGAACAGTCCCTCAATATCAGCCTTTAAGTCACGTTACAATAAATGGAAATATAACCCCAACCCCCGTTCAGTGCTGACCACAAAATTAAACCTCAAAAGATCTATCGAAATTAAATTGAATCGTATCCGAGTTGACCTGGCATCCAGAGCAGATTTTTACAGACACAATTTTAAAGAGTTTACAGATCCCAGTTGCCCCTGTGGATATCAACAGCAAACTAAGTCTCATTTACTCCTTGATTGCCCTCTATCGAATGGAGCCAGAAAAGTTTTTACCCAAAACCTGAAGGAGCTGCCTAGTTTTAATTATAACAACTTTGCCACTTTAACAAAGGCTAGTAAAATCAAGATTATGCTTTTTGGAGATTGTAAACTTTCAGATGAATGTAACAAAGAAATTACCAATTTATCAGCAAATCTTATTGACAAAACCATCTGATTATTTATAAAAAATTCATGATAATAAGGACAAAGTTCAACCCATCTTTCATCAATCATTATCATTCATTCCTTACATTTCCCATAAGGACCATGTAACACTTACAAAAGACAGGACACATGTTTTGAGAACCGTTATAAATATATGTTAATTTTGCAAATTTTATACAAGGGAGGCCAATAATGTAATGTTTTACCTAGGCCTTCCTAGTATGTTAACAAGTGTAAAATCTTATTGCAAATAAATAAAACTTAACCTTAAAAAAACATACAATGCAGATTAAAAGAATCAACACTATCATGTAGCGGTGTCTACACGATTTTCTATTTGGTTATTTCTGTCTGGGTATCGAATGTCATTTTCCTTCATAACTTGTTTGATTTTTACTCCATCGACAAAGTACAGGGAAACCTGTATATAGTATATGAAGATATTTTGCCTATTTTCGCTCTAATTTTTCCCTCTTATTTGTCACTTTTGAGGATGGAATATTTTTTCTTATTAGTTGGATGTTAAGATTTCTAAAATATACTAATTACTCAAAACATCGACTTAAGTTATTTCACGATAATGTGCGCAAGAAATCACATACTAGTATTTGTTTTAAAATGAGGATATACACTCTTATGTTTCTAGGTACGATTGGCGACTCACCGATGATTGGTTGGTCAAGGAGTGTGGCTCTGATTACAATCCACATGGTATAGAAAGAGTACCTATGCAATGGGGAGCCCTCAAGGGCCCGATAAAAAACTTCCCTAAAGACGCTAAATATTTTCTAGGATTTAACGAGCCAAATCATATCGCTGAAGCAAATATTCTTCCAAAAGATGCAGCTAGGATGTGGCGCGATTATATTCAGGACGCTGTGCCCGGAGATGTAAAACTTGTAAGCCCCTCAGCTGCACCATGTGGGAAATGCAATATGTCCCCGACAAAATGGTTTGATGAGTTTTTCGATGAATGTGGACGTGACTGTCGTGTCGAATACCTTGCAACCCATATCTATTCATGCAATGCAGACCAAACTATGGCATACCTCGAAGGTCTCTGGCAGCGTTATAAAAAGGAAATATGGGTCACTGAATTCGCGTGTCCTTATGCCAAATCAACCGATATTGCGCTTGAGTACATGGCAAAGATTCTTCCAATGTTAGAGGACGCAAAATACATATTTAGGTATTCCTGGTACGTTAATAGGTTATGGGTAGACGGTTTTATAACACGCGCAGACGCTCTGGAAAATGGAGATTTCTCTTTTCTCAGACGAACTGGACAATATTATAATGACTACAATCCACCAAAACCATTTTAAGACATGAGAAACTGCGATTGAGAGGAATTTTAAGATTCATTACAAGAGACACTATTTTGTAGTCAAGCAATTGCATGTATTTTATTTAATTAATGTGCTGAATTCACATATATTGTAAATACACATACCATATTATGGTATACATCTAATTGAACAATCGTAGCAGAAGTAAAAATCAAAAATACTCACAGACAACCAAACACTTGCTTTTCATGTAAGTGTAAGTGTTCTTGTCACATGAAAGTGTTCTTGTCTAAACTGTAAATGTACACTGTTGATATTGAATATCATTTAATTGTGTTTGTCGGTTTTACTCATTTTTAAGGTTAGTTTATTTCATTTTCACATACATATTACAGAACAATATGCAAATGAGATAGAAGCCGATTGTCCACCTTCATTGGTGGTAAAATACAATAAAATACAATTTTTGGCTTGGTTTTACTCATCTACATGTGCATTATGATTTCGTGTATTTGTTCATAAAAATCTCCAATGTTTTGCATACTATTTGTTCCATTGCAACCAAAATAAATCCAGTCGTATATGTGTTTCAAATTATAATTATGTCCTCTTTTTTCTTTGTGTGTTTTGAAGATTATAATAAATTCCCTCTAGTCTTAAAAGCTCCTCGTGGTTTCCTATTTCTGCAACTCTTCCGTTTGAAATAACTGCTATTTTGTCAGAGTCTTGGATTGTAGACAGTCTGTGGGCAATTACAATACATGTACGCCCTTGTCTAGCCCGGTCCAATGCCTCTTGTACGATCTGAAAAAGAAATGCGAAATAATAGACCTTTCCCACTTATCCCTGTGAAGAAGAGACACATAGCTTCATGGTAAATTAAATGGAATTGATGTAGTTATTACTGATTTCGTGATGTTGTTTCGTTTTGAGACACACTATATATTGAAAAGGTCTTTTCATGTATGATAAGCCAATTCAGAGGGGAACTGTTTAGATGTAAGGACTTTGGGTTTCACCTTTTCACTCTCTGTGTCCAGTGCTGATGTTGCTTCATCCAGGAGAAGAATCTTGGGGTTTCTGACCAGGGCTCTGGCTATCGCTACACGTTGTTTCTGACCCCCACTCAACTGTGCACCTTTGTCTCCCACGCTTGTGTTGTAGCCCTGGTATAACATATATCATATTTATAACAACACCACAAATAATGTACAAATGACCCAGAGTAGCATCCATAGATCAAGACCAAGGATACGAAATGCAATTGCACTGCAACTTAGTGTCAATTTATTGGGTAAACGTTCAAACCTACGAGAATGAGGCTTTCTAGCATGACTTACATCAGGTAAAGAAGATATGAAGTTATGAATGTTTGAACTCTTGGCTGCTTGTATGACCTCGTCCATTGTCACATTTCTTGAGTTGTCTCCATACATGATGTTCTCTGCGATACTAGCATCAAACAACACAGGTTCTTGAGACACAATTCCTATCTGTCTGCGCAACCAGGCTACGTTTACGGAGTGAATCTCATGACTCCCATCTAGAATCTGAAATGAATTAAATGTAAGAGGACATTGAGGTCAAGGACACATTGAGGTCAAGGACTGAGGGCAGGGTCATTGTTGAATGTTTGTTAATTTTTAGCACTTATACAAGTGAAGAATTTCAATAGTTGATTATTCAAGGGATCTTTGAAATTTTACATATGCTCTCGTGACTCACAATGCTACCAGCTAAAGCATCATAGAATCTCTCAATGAGTTGAACTGATGTACTCTTCCCACATCCACTACTTCCCACGAGGGCCAGCGTCTGTCCTGGTGTCACGCTCAAATTCAAACCACGTAAAACTGGCACCTCAGGTCTTGATGGATAGCGGAACTTAACTTCTACAAACTCAACTGCTCCCGAATAAGAAGGCTACATAAAACATATATATTTATTAGATTTAATCCTGTCTATGACTTAATTATTTTTAATTGATGGTTTATGGGATAATCCCTATTTATGCAGTTAATTTATATACAGTTATAAAGTAAAACACTCGTATAAAAGAGAACTTAACACACTAAGATACATACATAGTTTTCAAATCGAACGAGATCGATGCTAAAAGATAAAGACCAATTATCGATGATTATATTGTGCCTTTGTGCTCTAAGTCTGAGTACTTACTGGTTCATTTCCGTGTGGTGATTCAGTGTCTATAGCCGGGATCCTGTCAAATAGTTTAAATAATCTGGCTGCAGCGACCTTAGCCTTGGCGTAGTCGGGTGCAAATGCGGCAGCCTGACCCATACCCATTGCACCCAAAATAATCACCGAAAATACCCTAAAATACAAAAAATAAATAAGGTGCAACAATTTATATTGTAATTGTAATTGTAAAATTTATTATAGTGTCTTGGGTATAACTTTACATAAAATATCAATTAAAACGGCCTATAAGACACCTGTCTTATCTATATAGAACCCGCTCCCTGGTCCTGAGCATTTGGCCACAGGCCCTGGCAACGTATAGGTAAATTCCAGGTTCACTCATAAGTATTTTAAATCGTTCTTCGTGATTTTCTTATATTATAACGATTCAGATCTTTACCAATCAGACGGCGTATTTGCCGATTTGTGTTCTTCACCTATCATATTATTACACATGCACCAGTTTTCTTGACTAATTGTGTAATGTATTTCCAGTAAGTACATGCAACCATGTACTCGTGAATTGAACACAACTATTCAACTTATAATCGATTTCAGGTTAATCGATTTTGATTTCACAGCTGTGATAATATTATGCCAGAACTCTTGGATTCATGTATGCATACTCACTTGAAAAGATCACTCATTTGCATCAGTCTGATTTCTATCAGATAGGCACCATAAGTGAATCCTGCGGCGAATGCAAAATAAAATGTGGCCTGAGATAAAGCATATGTAGCTCCATAGACGAATGCTTTCTTTATGGAACTTTTATAAGGTGCCTTTAACTTTTCATAATACATCGAGTAGAATTTCTCTTCCTTTGTTAGGGCAGCTATGGTTCTGATGTTTTCCAATGCTTCAAGTGCAATCTGCAATATGGCACTATTGTGTTAAACATGCAAGAAGATGCGCCATAAACGGAAAGAACAGAGAATATTTAGAACAACCGTTCATAAAGAAATAAACGCCAACTATCCAAAATATATATTGAAAAGCCTACAGTGCGTATTTGTTCTTACTTTTTTCCAAAAAGTTTTTATGTTCTAAAATGGTAACAGATATGCATTTCAACATTAGTTAGCAATGTCAAGAATGTTACCTTCCCCGCATTTTCCAAAGCTTTCTTGTCACCTCCGGCTACACCTGACAACACTCGCACTTCCATTACTCCCGCAATGGCGAGTACAGGCACGAAGCCCATCATAACCAACGCAAGACGCCAGCCAAAGACGAACGCAATTATAATGCCAGCACCGATGTTTGCTGCGTTCATGAGAATCAAACCCAATCGTGAACCAGTTGCCTGTTTTGAATAAAAACGATTGAGGTTAATGCAGTGAGACTTTTGCAAAATTAAGATAATCATTAAAAGAAAATGACAAACCCACATTGTTATATCTTTGCATATATGGTAAATACGGTGTCTTTAAAGTTGTGTCAACCCAAAAAGATCTTGAAAATACAACCTGGAACAATGTTCAAAACAGAGATACTGGAAATAATTGATATATTGAGTAATATTACCCCCTGTACACTAGATGCGTCAGTTGCCAATCTAGTACATAATGCCCCTGTGCTGTTCTTGTGGTTATCAAACCATCCGATGTCCTGTCTCATCATTGCCTTGAATGCCATCTGCCTCAACCTCATCGTCAATCCCTCACCGGACACACTGAACAGATATGTCTGCAAGACATACAAAATATGTAGTCCAAACTGAAAACGTACTGTGCACTACACTATGCACAATCAAAAAATGAGAATTCAATCGGCATTGATTATATAATGTCCAAAGTAATGATAAACTATCTCGTTTTATGAAAAGCATAGTGGGGAAGCACGATAAAAAGTCACGATGTTACAGCTCTTGAGTATCCTCGAGACATTATTCATATATTCCAAATCTAACTTATGATCTCTTTCCATATCGCGGGGCTTACTTGTAAGAATTGCATGAGTCCGACTACGGCGCCAAGAATGAGGAAAATGATTGCAAACATAGATGCATCTCTCTCCTGTTGTCCCATGTCCCAGTATGTGAATATCTAGAGAAATAAAAAATGCATTATTTCAAATTATGTCACGAAGAGACCAAATATAGCCTGTTTCGTGAATATTTGTAATTGTGTAACTTTAACGAATTGCATGAGCGGCTAAACAAATAGAGAAATAGGAGAGCCTGGGACAAGACGAACAATGGGTGAACGGCAACATTGACGCTATATATAATCTATAGTATATTAAATACGGACCAGCCAAAAATGTTCATCATGTTTATAAATAAAGCCCCCACCCTCAATGATACGTACAACTAGCAGTTCGCTAAAGATGATTGCAAAAATAGGCATTTCTGCTCCGTTGAATATGGCGGCGAGGCATCCACCGAGAATGTATGGCCATTCTGGTGAGTTGAGTCCAGCTAGTCGCTTCAGTTGTGGTGGAGGGAGCGCCTCATCTTCCGGCTGGTAAAAATGTAATATTGTAATATGTAACCCCAACGATTGATTCGTATGGTTCTGTTGCTTATTTACTTTATTATCTTAAGTTTTAGCGCAACTCTTAGTTTTAGTATTAGGTCCAACAAATTGTAAATTTTGCTTTGATATACAAAAAAACTTAAATGTATTGGTTTACTTTCAAATACAAATTAAAATCACTTTCTGCTAAATTAAGTGGCATCATCAACTAAATCAAGTTGCATCATCCACTGTATAGATATCATCAATGAGAAACGCTCGAAACTCACTGTAGGCGACAGATCAAGGTCCTCGTCCCGAAGCTCAGGCTTAGTAAGTTTGCCATGAAGAGACATTCCTGCTCCCAAATGCCTCAAACCCCGGAGGCTTCCTTTCAAACTGAAATTTAATACAATCATGGAGTTAAATTATCTGTATACAGAAACATCTTACGGGGGCAGACATTAGAGTATTCCATGCCAATCAATGTGCAATTATTCATAACTCTAGCACTTAGTACAGGTGTCATTTACCACTTACCTGTTTCTGAAGCTGTTACCCCTCTTTAATTCCGAGACTAATTTGTCATCAGGAGACACTGCAAAAAGTGATTCAAGTGTAATACAGGGTGACCCAAGATGTGAGTCTAAACGATCTCTAAAGATGTCCAAACTTTAATGATATCAACTTAAATTCCCATTGCTTTATGTACCTTCATGATGTCATGAGCATTGAAAATATGGACGCACTTGCGGAAAGGATTTCAAAACTAAGTCATTAAAACATAATTAACCAGCATTCATGTTTAGAGTTCTTGAACTGTCTATCACGTCTGTGAGAAATATTCAGATCCATGATCAAGTATTAAATGAACAAAAGTGTTGCCAAATTGGTAGTCTCACAACAAAACACAACCACAGGCTGTCATAAAAAATATGTCCAGCTTGGGGAGCATCCTATTTCTCATAATAACATTAAGAAAACCTTTTTTCGAAGGCCCCCGCGAAGTGGGCGGAGCCATTCGTTCTATGGAACAGGTTTTGACCAGTCACGTGTCCAAAAATCCGCCATTATTACCTTATATGGCAAATCATCACAACAATTTTCTCCACATATGATATGATATGGCTTTCGTATTCTTCTAGTGAAATTTCACTGGAGTATCTTGTTAACTATGTCTATTAAATATGTCTCATAATGCCAAAGAAAATCAACCACATGCAATGAGCATACTATTTGCGGACTTCTGTTGAAGTCCGATAACGTAAAGAGTAAAATATATTTAAAATGGCGCTAGTTGTTAGGTTTTCTTAGTGTTTTATGAAAAATAGCATGCTCCTTCAAGCTGGCCAAATCGTTCGATGATGGCGCGTTACAACATTGGGTTTCTTATTGTTCATGGCATTCTGAGAAATACTATATCTTAATTTGTCACACGCTAACTGGAGATAAAGACATGATAATAAGATTTTGTTGTATTAATTCATCTGAGAAAAACTATTATACTATTAATATCAAAGCAGGCCAACCTTGAATGTTGTTAGTTGTTATTTTACAATTGTACACGGACATGTATTAAATAAAAAGTGCAGACTATTATTAAAGATTATAATGAAATGAAAACTCTTCTAAGAATGATCTATCACTATAAAATGCTACAACATTCAAAAGAATGTTTTTGAGACTAAGCAACTGACACACATCAAGCCTAGTTTTTGGTCTCATCGATTTATCAAAATGTTTTTCAAGTAGATCATTGTGCCATCGATTCGTAAAAGTAAAACGAATGACAAAATGTCATCACCTAGTTGCTCACAATATTATTAGCCCCATCTAAATTTGAATTTCTGAGAACTCTGTAGATGATTTTGAAAAAAATGGTCAATTTGAAGCAAGTTTTTTTGCCCTGGGACATGTGGGGTCATTGATGGTGAAATCTCAAATCTGAAGTCAGATTTGAACTTCTGAGAACTTGTAGATGATTTTGAAAGAAAAATTGGTTTTGAAGCACGTTGAAAAAAATACCCTTTTGACCTTGAGAAGGTTATTGAAGATCAAATCTATATAGCCAGATTTGAACTCTTGAGAACTTGTAGATGATTTTGAAAGAAAAATTGGTAAATTTGAAGCACGTTGAAAAAATACCTTTTTGACCTTGAGAAGGTTATTGAAGATCAAATCTATATAGCCAGGTTTGAACTTTTGAGAACTTGTAGATGATTTTGAAAGAAAAATCGGTAAATTTGAAGCAAGTTAAAAAATTAAACTAATTGTGAAGACAAAAAGCAAACAGCAAAAAGGAATAAGACTAGAGCATGCAAAGAAATTATGTTTCTACCGAGATAACTTTCTTCGGCGGGTTTTCCCTCCTCGTTTATCTCAAAAATCTCTGCTGCATGTTGGGAAACACATTTATTGATAATGGTAATTTGTTGGCATTTTCATTTATTACTTATTGCATATTTTATGAAATTCGTAAATACATTGTGGATATAGTTTATATTTCTATCGATATGTCTATATCAGCTGTGCAGGGGCGTAGCCAGCTTTCAGTCAGGGAGGTGCGATCGCCAAAAAGAATTCAGTCAGGGGGAGCGATTGTGGCATAAACAAGCCAGAAATTAAGATATATCTTGAATTTTATTGAATTGATGCAACTTCCTTCAAAATTGAGCTAGAAGCTTCAAATAAAAAGCATTTTAAAGCTCATTTCTTCTTCTATATCATGCTTATTTTTATTTGTTATGGGAGCTGTCGCAGCTATCGCACCCCCCCCCCCCCCCCCTGACTACACCTATGGTTGCGTGATTTCTAATTTTGCTCTCCCTTTGGGAATTGTTCTTTTTCTTAGAATGATGATGGTTGGGATTGTAAAGGACTGAAATGCATGTCAGATGTTGTTAACTGTAAATGGTAAGTAGATTCACATGCCCACGGGGCCAGTATCATTGCATTATAGACAATCAACTCGCAATTGTTATGCAAGGCATCCATGCGACGATAATGTGTTTTGACAAGTAAAATGTATTACGAATGTTGTTAATGCCTACTACTTGAGCAAAATAGAGCCTCCAAGTGTTCTCCTTAGTGATGTTTAAATTACCTCTTCTGCATTAAGGTTCCAATACACCGTTGGAAAGCTGAGAGTGTGAGCTTGAAGAATCTAACCTCCATTTGAATTTTTGCTGAATGCAAAATTCTATATGACACTTTCATCACCAAGGGGTAAATTTAAGAAATCAATCATGCTTTTTCAATCAAAATATATTTTGACAATCGGTTTCTATTTTCAATCTGATTATCAATAACAACAAGGTTTGTGGTCTCGGCAACACAACAGTATATAATTATGATGTTTACACTTTGTGGTTAGGATTACAATTTTTCTTTGAATATAAAACAGGAGAATGTACTTTTAATTGCATAAAGGATATATTTGTGTCACTCTCCATGATCAGTCGTGTGACTTTGCCTCTCTCCTTAGTATAGTTTATATGAGATGGTGGTACTATGTGAAAATATATGGTTTCAGAATACCTACATGGACTGTTATGTCTAAGAAAATATTCATTGGAATCACTCCATATTAGAGATTATGCATGTTTGAGATAGAATTCTACATTAGAGTAAAATAAAAAGATGCTGTTTGAGAAATTAGGTGTGGCAATAGAGGTCAAAGGTCAAATATTTGGCTTGATGGGTTCCACTTAACCTTGGTATGTAGTGCATCACCCATACCACTTGCTTAGATTGCAGGTAATGCTCATTTGGAATTAATTATATCATTGATAAAGTAAACTTATAAGGGTAAATTTTAATAGATAATATGAAGGTCAAAGGGATATGGTAATGCCCAATGTTAAGTAAAAGGTGCATGTTCTCATGTTAAGTCAATTCACGCTTGCTGCAATATAAATATTCTCAGGAGAAGATTAGTAATTTGAATTGTACATTCCTAAATACCCAAACTACACATATTTAAAGTACATATTATTTTTCAAATATCAAATCTCATTTTTACTGAAAACAAAAATGCTGATCCATTTTGTAGCATTGTGGGGGTCATTGTACTTATGACCCCTATCTCAGCCTATCTGGGTTCAAACTTTTAAATATTCTCCAAAGTATAATTTGACATTGAATTGAGTATTGTAAATCTAAAAATAATCCATTCTGGCAAAAGGGGTACTTGTCATTTTGAAATTGATTTTCATAAAACTAATAAATGACCCCTTGGGGATGAAAGGGTTAATATTTAATTTTGCATTCACTAAAACTTTTAATGGAAATCAGATTCTTAAAGCTCACCCTTTCAGCTTTCCAATGGTGTATATGAACCTTAGATGGTCATTTATATCACCCAAGTTTGCTCTACTATACGACCTTCGTGTTAGATAAACCGCTGTTGGTGTGGTGATATTACTTACTTTCCTGTTGTAGCTTTCCTTTCAGCAGGGCAAGTGAATCGTCTACTTGTTCAGCTGTAAAATATATAATATTCTGTCCGTGTAACTTTCGGATTCGCTATGTGTATGTAAACATTACATTAAAATAATATGAGGAAATGAAGACATTTTATAAAAAATATACAGAATAACCACAATAACATTAAACACTAAAGTATACATGAATTAAAAATACGAAATCGTTCAAACAAGTTAGCTGTTATGAAATATGTACTGTGTCCTCACCGTCCTTCTTTACGACGTCTTCACGAGTTTGCAGTGTCACAAGTTGGTAATATATTCCACCATAATCCATCAGTTCCTCGTGAGACCCCTGCTCCACAATTTTACCCCCTTCAAAGCCGCATATGAGGTTAGCGTAGCGAATAGTAGACAAACGATGGGCTATAACGATTGTAGTACGTCCTTGCCTAGCCTAATACATATGATTCATATTATTCAAGTCATGTTCACAGAAGAAAAAATGATTTGAAATTGAAATAATACTGCAAGAACTAATAAAGAACAACGAGTCTTTTCACATGTGCATATGATTAACATTCTACCTTATCAAGAGCATTTTGTACGGTGGCTTCACTCTCAGTGTCCAGTGCAGAGGTGGCCTCATCTAACAGTAAAATTTTAGGATTCCTAACTAAAGCTCTTGCAATGGCAATTCTTTGTTTCTGTCCTCCACTCATCTGTCCACCTCGTTCGCCCACTAATGTCTCGTACCTCTAAAATATGCATATATTGAATGATGCTTGTTTGAATAACTAGTAGGTTGTCTATTCTGTATTACAGACCTCAAGGCAATGTTTTTGTAAAAAGTAGCTGGAAAAAAGACTTACGGGAGTTTCGGTTTTTACGCACGGGAAGCTGTTTTTGAAGATGTTCATATTTTGTCGTATTTTGCATTTATTAGTTTCAAAATAGTACCAGCAGTTAAAACAAAAAAGTATCCTTACATCCGGAAACTCCATGATGAAGTTATGGGCATTTGATTCCTTGGCAGCTTGTTCAATTTCTTGCTGGGTAACATCGTCTCGCCCATAACGAATATTTTCAGCTATAGTCGTGCCAAACAGTATCGGTTCCTGAGATACAATTCCAATCTGGTTACGCCACCATTTAATATTGAATTCCCTGATATCGATGCCATCAATTTCAATCTACAAATGACGAAGCAACAATAAAATACGATTATATATTATTGACTAAGGCAATTTCATCACATTTATTTTGTTCGGGTGGGGTGTGTGTTGTAAACCAAAATATTTGGAATCATGTCGGAGAATGGGCTTATTAACTTGGCTCCATTTTTCGAAATATAGGTCAATGTTAATTTTTCCCCTGTAGAAATTGTGCTTACATCTCTGATTAATTAATACAATCTACTCACAGATCCCTCAAGTGGGTCATAGAATCGCTGGATAAGCTGTACTGATGTCGACTTTCCACAACCACTGGAACCGACAAGAGCAACGGACTCCCCAACTCCAACCTTTAGGCTAATACCTTGCAACACCTAGAAGAGAAGTAATGAAATATCACAATACCCCCATACTGATGTAATACGCCCTTTTTAAAATAAATAAAGCAGAACTACTGGTGAATGCAAATACTACTCACTTTGACGTCAGGTCTTGTTGGATAACAGAAGTGTAGATTCTTAATTTCTATATTTCCTTTGATCCCGCTGGGCTTTGTACCAGCCTCACTGCTACTATCTATGGGAGGAATCTGCAATTTAGATAGATTTAGTTCTATTTTACACCTCTATGACTTTGTATCTGAGCTGTTTTTGAATGGCGCCCTGATGGTTATCAAACAGGATTGAAATACACTTACTTTATGTTCAATATTGCGAACACAAACTCTCCGTTAAATGTTCATTGAAAATTAGAAAATTGCAAATCCTGGGTTAGACGTACTCACCCTGTCTATGATGTTATATATGGTGTATGCAGCTCCCCTTGCCGTCCCAATGTTCTGCAGATTTGGGGCAGCCTGTCCAATGGCAACAGCACCAGTCACAACAGAGAAAAAGACCTAAGATGGACAAATATACAACAATGTTATGGAGAATGTCTGCGACACTGGTGATAATATTACTTCATACAAATGAAGTATTTTAATGAAAATGTCGATTTTTCAACGTAATCATCATCCTTTATAATTTTGGGCATTTAAAACATATTAGAACTTTACGACGTAGGGTGTATATAGGGGTTATGCACTGGGAGGTTTTGGATACAGGGAATATCCCGAGGAATATACAATATATCTGATGTATTGTATATCCCAAGGGATATTCCATGTAACCAAACCGACCGTGCATAACTGGTGTATCTCATACTTGAGTGGGTTTAGGGTAGATATAACCTATTCCACCTTTTTCAAATGACAAGATATTTATATTTAACATTTTCGTAATATTCTTTTTGTTCAATACAATGAAATTGTAACATTTAAACTTAAAAAATTTAATTTTTTGATATTTAAACTTTTGAAAAATTCCCGGGAGCGGGATGGATATATTATATCTGCCCGCATTTGGCCTGGAGCGGGACATATACAATATATCCTGCCCGCTCCTCAGATACGATATATATTCCCGGGTGATGGCTACCCCAAACCCACTCAAGTATGAGATACAAGCCATTATTTCTTTTCCTTAGTTTTTGGTCCTTTCTTTTGGGCATTTGTGCTTAGATATTAATAACTCAGTTTTATATGTTGCACCTAAAACACTGTAAACTGACACTTAAATGGCGGCCATTTTGAAACCGGCAGCCATTTTGAAAATCGGCTTTTTGGTAGAACTTGAATGTACATGGGGCATATAAATATAAACGATGTTGGTTCAACGGGATTCGAGTTATTGCCCGACATATAGTCGTACGGACGAAGCCGTTCTCTTTATCCCTTTGAACTTTACTCGATGGGAAAGAAAAGCCATCCTTACTATAAGAAGTATCCCAGCACTATAGTCCTCCTCGCGGATGAGCTTAGCTCCATACCAAAACCCAAGGGAGTATGCACAATAGCAGATGAACCATGCAAATCCTATGCCAAGGCCCATCACAAGTCCTTTTTGGATACCTTTCTGCCTTGCAAATCCTAAGTTGTTGTTGTAACTGAAAATAAACAATTCCTCTGTGACACTCAAGTACATGTATATATACGTTAGAATAATTACTTTAGTGCTTGCAGCGATATAATATATATACATTATTTGCTTTTTCCCTACCGTTCACATTCCTTCTTCTCGCCACCAAAAGCAGCAACAGTGCGCATAGACCCCAATACCTCTTCCGCGATCTTACCCGATTGAGCATACGCCTTCAGCTCTACGTTAGTAAGAACACTGTTAACCTGTATCAAAGAAAAGCGATTAGCTTGTTTAAGTATAGCCGCCCATAGCATTCTCAGATATGCCTTGCCGAAGATCATTTTCATTGAAGCTTTTTAATTATGGTATTATGTTACTCATCTTTTTGCACAAATAATAATTAAGTATTCATACATAGCCCATTACGAACACCGCTATGGTCAGCCCAGGAACGGTAGCCAACATCACCAATGAAAGTTTCCAACCGTAAACGAAGCCAATGACGAATCCCCAAACAAACGTAGAGACGTACTGGATGAACGTGCCAAGTTTGTCGCTTATGCCATCGCTGATTTTCAGAATGTCACTAAAACATGTAATTACATGGAAATAACTTATGTGAATTAAACAAATTGTGAAAAACATGGTAATGACTGGATTGACATTTTCATCGTCAAAATATATTTTGCAGAAACCCCTGAAAATACTTAGTTAACAGATATTATTGTCCTTTCATGATTGTTGTGCATTTATGGCCCTTATAAATTTCAAACTTAAAGTATAAACTAAATTAGTAGTAATTAGGTCAACGAAGTAACCATTGAAGATGAGAACGTCATTCCAAGTTATTTCTTTGATCCAGTATATCGTACGTTTTGTATCTGTACTCACTCAGAGAGACGGGTGTTCAGTTCCCCAGCACCTAGCTCATCGTACCATCCTACGTTCTGCCTTAAGCAAGCTTTCAGGAAGTATGTTCTTATCCTCCTCATCTGACGCTCTGCTGGTATCATAAAGAACGAGATCTGGACGAATGCTGTGAGCATCACCATAACGCCCATGACTAAATAATTTGAAATGAATAAACAGTAAGAACTCGGGGCCTCATGAATACAGCAACAGCGCCTAGCTTACCGTGTTAAGACATTTTCATAACTAGGTGGTGATATGATATATCTATCTTTAGTATGAATGGAACAATAAACTTCAGCCATGAGAGAAGATATTTGGAATTATTACTACAAATACTTTAAGACAAGGATATTACTTACAGACATACCACCAGGCATACCCTCTCATTGCGGTGAATATACCTTCAGCAGCTACTACGGGTAGGACACTAGAGTTGTAATCTCTTACCCCGTTGTCAATCAATATCGGGCTAAATGTAACAAGACAAAGGTCTGAATGATGATACATTATAAGAGTAAATTAACACTTGATCGCAAATGCAACTAGAATCAAACAAAATACATTTCACGGAATTTATTTTGAGCATATCAAATCAATATGGGAACAACTTACTCGAGTAAGCTTCGATTCCTTATGATGTCCTCGTTGGTCAAATTATATGAGGAAACGTTGAAACGACTAATCAGCCTGATAGATTTAGTGTAGTTTACAAAAACATCGGTGGTTTCACCGAAGACAATGTTAACAGCCACATAGAAGAAACCATGGATTAAAGCACCAATAAGTCCAATGATCGTCATAACAGTGTCTCTCGTATCTGCGAACCGGAACTAAAAATAAAAACACAATTGTGGATGTCAAAATGGAACACTCACAGACGTGCATAGGTGCTCTTTCAAAGAATATGAATGCAAAGCATAGATATTATGACAGAATCCATATATAGACCTATTGATAATCTCAAGATGTATATCAATGTCTTTTAAGGATAATGTAAGGCATTCGGTTCGAAATAATATGACGTTATGTTTATGTTTATGTATCTTTATTTCCACCTATGCAGATGAGTACATAATAATTATAATGTTAATGTGGCAATATTAAAAATATAAAAATAAAATATATATATTTACAACGCAAACTGTGTTGATTTAATAGTTTATAGAGGTATAGCTGCAGCTCTTGTTTTTAACATGTGTTTGACACTTAACATTATCTTCACATACATTCTGTAGTCTAATGCTTCATTTTTTCCTAGTAGGACCTCCATTTTTTCAACCATATTATATCCATCAAATATTCTGTCACTTAAAACTGCCAACAAGTCACTCCTACTTTCATGAAGTTCAAGGCAATCTAAGAGAAAATGCCTTGTCGTTTCATTTGTCATCCCACACAGAGGACAAATAGTGTCATAGTTGAGTGGGAAAGCACCTGTTAGCAGTTTTACCATATCCCTACACATCCCTATATATTTACAATTCGATTGACAGATTCTCCACCATACGCATGGTTTTATCGTAACTTGTATCGTTCTATAAACGCTAAGTCTGTTAGATATGTTACATAACAAGTGCCATCTGTCTTCTTCATACTGCATTGAGACCTGCTACTAACATGTAAAGGTTTTAATGTACTCACCAATTGGAAGAATGAAATCTGTTTGATTTTCTGTTCCGGTTCTTCAAGCTCTTGATGATGCGTGCTGGCATATTTAGCCCCTTCCTCTGAAACCACAACAGTATGTGTCCAAAAATGAGACACTTTTTGACAAGTATTTTCACAGCAACTGATGAACCAAATTCATTGAAAATGTGTACAAAGCAGCCTAGGAGTATCATTAACAAGAATAATAATATAAACAATCAATATTCTGTGAGTACTAAGAAATTCAAAATAGCATGTCAAAACATCCAATACCGGAGCTCTTCGATGAGACCTCGTACCGGCTTCTCTTTCGATTTGGGAAGGCTACGACCATCGTGTCCTAATAATCCATTGCTCATAAACAGACTACTACATGCATCAAATGGATGCCTAAGGTGTTGAGACTAACAAACGACAATTAAATGAAATCATATTTTAATGAATCTTGGTTATACCACGTGACAGCAAAACGTTTAACACAATTTTATCATTAACATTTATTAGTGATAACATTTTGCAAGTGTTCTATTTAAAAACGTTTATTTTAGCATAAAACCGATAACAAGTTTCCAACGGCACAATCTAAGTGGACAAAAATCAAATAGTCAGACGTATACATTAGACCCAGACAGTGAGACTTCTTGGCAATATTCGCGTTTGATTAGTTCAAAAATGCATATAGTTATTTGTAGACTTAATACCATTCTTACCTTTGTTTTCTATGGAACCTGTTTCCAATGATTGTTGCAAGAACAGAAAATAACATTTCACTTAAGTGTGATGTCTTACAACTGGCTCTTACTCAAAAAGAGAAAATTATGGTGTCAACCTTTTCTCATACGTGTCATGCTTTTTTACTTGTGTCATCCTTTTTATAAAATTATTAGAATATATTGACGGATAAAGATGAATCGAAAAATCATTCTTGCAAGATAATCTTCGTTTGCATAAAATACTTTAATATTGTTTATTGATCCTTAAACTGAAAGGTTCTTCATAAATAAACACATTTTCAAACTTACCATATCTTTTGGCATTATCCTCTTCAGCCTTGAACTTGATTCCAGTTAACACAGGTTGTGGATTGGACATATTGCCGACTTGAGTTCGTTCTTAAATTATTTTAGGGCAAATCCGATGGTATTGGTGATCACCAGAAATGGCCCCACTGAAAATAGAAGTGCTGAAAATTCAGGAAATAATCGTTATTAGAATTTTATATGATTATATACTCACACAAGGGATGCTACATATAATGTTGTAATTGTTACGCGGAATATAGCATATATTCATGGTTGTGCAGTATTTGTGATAAGGGTAAAGATGCCATACTCACCTGCGGTATATTAGATATTCTACAGGTGATTATGGCATATTCCGCAGTGAATATACGTTACATTGACTTCTGTAAATACCCAATACTCACCTGCGGAATATGTCATACTAACCTGCGGAGGATGGCATTCTCACCTGGGGAATATGCCATATACCGCAGGTGAAAACACGATACAGAAAGATTTGATTGGTCAAAAGAATCGACTCTAAATGCAAAACTACGTTGGATTACCAATATTGTTAGCGCTTTGAGAACTGTATATGAATCCTGGATTGTTTATGTACGTTTATTACGTGTAATTGCTGAATGATACTTCTGAGAGTATCAGAAATGTGTAAAAAGTTATTGCCAATACAACAATACATATAGGTTTTTATTCGCAGGTGAATCTGCCATACACCGCAAGTGAATATGCCATGTATTCGTTGCGGAATATGACATATATTTGTATCGTGTTTACTGGGTAAAAGTTATATTCAACTGCACTGAAACAACATAGGATTGCATTGAACTTAATTTCTCTATTTACAGTATTTAAAACACTATTTGTTAGTCGATAGTCAGATTCAAGGCCAATGCTAATTATGTTACAATCATCCATAATACTTTGATACTTCTGGTGCCATCCCTGATAGTTAACCGTAACATATACACTTTGTGTTACAATTTAAATTCAATTAAGACTCACCTTGTATCGTTTTGTCCTGTTAATTGGACAATTGACAAATATCTTATTGCTAGATAAGCCATTGTGAAATATGTTGAAGGTGCAAAACACTTTGAAGAGAGATAGAAATACTCAGCAAGCGATCCAAAATTAAACAGCATCAAAATATTTAATTCATATATCTTATGTATTTTAATAATTAATAATTGATTTACTTACATTTTCTGATATATTAACAACAAGTGTATGTTAAATGGTAACCACATACATTACTGTAGTTCTTGATGAAGTTTGGTAGTTAATGCCCAAAATATATATAGCATTAAAGAAAACAATCAAAGTGTTCAGTTGATTATTTTAATGTCAAATCGTATTTCTAAAATAATTTTTATTTCTGATAGATTAATTTCTTTAATAACTGATAAAATCAACTTTGAATATTAATCTCAAGGTACAATATTTAGATATCGATATCGATGTTAGATGCCATAACTATCAAATGCTTTCGTTATATCTAAGAGGGATTGGGTTGGCTTACAAGTTTGTGTTCTCCAACGCAACGATGCTATTTCATCATTAGATTCAACCCTTATATTAATTTAACAACTGAACATTCATTTATCAGATAGGATTGTCCTCGAGAGGGTCCCACAATATGATCTCATGGTTCACACGTGCATTTAAAAATCAGTTCAGTGACGTTTATTTTTTTATAAATACTTTATAAAATTATCAGCTTATCTGTCAACATGGGTCAATCGACTTATTAAAAATCTGAGAATGATTATGGCAACTTCGGCGTTGATTATCAAAAATGATTTATATCATAAAATATACAAGTGGTAACCTCATATGTATTATGAATTTTAAATAAATCAAAGTACAAAGTTTATTTAATATCATTTTTATATTCGCTGTGTCTGTATGGTAATGATACGACTTAACCAAACCAATAGTCATTACATTAAACAACAGTTTTAATTTCCCCGGGATTAATCCGTCAAAATTCACTAACCCATTTTGAAAGTTCCTCGAAAAATCCCATATTCTCAAGACTAGTCGATGTTGCATTGACGAAATATACAGTTTATACACTGAATATTCTAGAACTATCCTGTATGACGAATCAGTGAGGGAGCGGATGCATAATTGAATATTTGTTTTATACATTCTTTGACTTCTTTAACCACCTGGTAGAGTATTATTGAGTACATTCCCACAGATATGTCTAGGATGGAATCATGTCGTCTTTATCAATACATATATACTAGAAGTGTCCGACAGAACTAAACAAATATGTTTAAGTGCCTGATTCAAAAGAACATTCTTGAAAACATCCTTGTTTTTCAATACACATTTCATAACATTTCTAAAATCTCCTATTTCGTCCAAATAAGTTGTATATTTATCAAACAATGAATAAAACAATAATTGTTGAAATATCAACGAAATATAAAAGCGCATGTCATAAACAGCAAGATAATATATATAAGAAAACGTAGAAGGGAGGGGAACATCGCAAAGCACAGCCGGTTACAAGTGAACAGTGGTAACACCACAGATTATAAAAAAATCAAATATCTCGCTGTATTTTTGTCAGGCAAATGTTTGATTGTTTTTTTATACTCTATGTTATAAAATGATATATAACATTTAAGGTTTTAAATATCATGCATACTCATCAATAGTTGGATAAATCATGACTAGGCTAAACCATGACATCTCATTTCTTCTCGGCCCTGGGAGTGAAACATGTGAAACAGAAAGATGCTATGAGTATCAGAATCAGTTTTGATATGGACCCACAGAGTCTTAATGCCAAAGATTGATGTATTTATGTTGCCATTCGTTTCAATATTAAATGTTTTGTTAAATCACACTTTGGGATACTGGAGGTTTATTTGCCGTAAAATAAAAATGGAAAATAGTCTACTACACTTCTCCTCACATATATAAATAGTGCAATTTGTATAGTCAGTTCAAACAAAATAATTCTGTTTTTGAAAGGAAGTAAATTACAACATTTCTAAAATTGAAATCTTAAATTTCCTGTTTCGGTTAGGGACGGTTGATGAAATACCGTAAAAAAATGTCAAATTTCATAAACAATTTCCATTTGAACACAATTCGTTATTCATTTCCTTTTCAAAACCTCTACGTCTTGGATGATAATAATCAAGGGATGGAAAAGAATGTACTTTGCTAATTTGGATATTGATCAAGGCCTCCATTTTAAATGCTGTTTGCAGTCAATGAGCGAACGGATGGAGTTTTATATCTGAATGATAAATGGTTAACTTCTGTGATGGTAAGTGTATTATCTACGTGATAAATTATTCTAAAAGCAAATACTTGGAAAGCATTATCATACGAACGGTATAACCTTTTTAATCATTGACATAAAGCGCTAGTTACATGGCAAGGCAGCTAGCTTGCAATTCCATCTTCTGAAAATATATGCAATTCAATGTATTCATTATGGTATGGTAATGACCCTCAGCTACAATGATCTATGTGTCTTAATGATGTCACGTCTTCTACCCGTAGCAAGAACTAATAATTTAAACAAAAATGATTAATAGGTTTTGCCAAATATGTTGAATGAACCAGATGTCAGACTCCTACTGTAGCGCCCTCTTTCACCTTGCTCGCTGCTCAGCTGATAAAGCAATATAGATCTTGCAGTAAGAAACTCGTTTACAGGTTTACATCTGCTAAAGGAAAATTAGATTTAGTTACTTGAAATTAGGAAGAAGAATATTAGGCAACGAGTTTCTTCCTGCAAGATCTGAATTGCTCTGTCAGCTGAATTGCGAACAAAGTGAAAGAGGGAGCTAGTCTGACATCTGGTTCCTGCAACATTCTTGGAAAACCCATTAATCATTTTTGTTCAAAGGGCGGAATGGTCTCACAAGAAAGGGGCCGTAGATAGGTATTGGCTCAATAGCCTGCAATATCTAGCACTCGTGTAGGAAGGGAAGTCATGTCGGTCTCATTATTAGGATAAAAGCTTGCTCTCGTAAGAGGGCCTTAATTTACCAAAAACACATTAACCCTGCATGGGTGCTTTAAATTATAAAATGTTGTGGTAATAGATGTAGTGTAATGGGTAGAAGTGCGACTCTTCTGACAATATCTAGGTTTAGTTAAACACTTTCAGTAAAACAAAACATTGGAAAGGATAACATATTAAATGATTACAATATAGTTCCCTCGCTGTCATCCATCTCGGCATTACCTAATCCTAAAGCGCTGGGACTATCCTTGTATCTAAAGTATGAAAAGCTCATTCCTTTGATATCTTGCATTATGTATCTTGGAAGATACAAAATGCAAGTTGTCATTTATCCAAATACAGCAAATGCGAAAAATCAATAGACAGAAGTGTACTTACCAATTCAGCTTCCCTCTAGAATGCTACTAAGAGACTTCCTTGATGGGAATTGTACGCTCTCGGTCAAGGTCACGGGTGATTTATTCCCAATTTGGAATTACATTGAGTAAATTACGTTAAAACATTATACCAGCCATTAAGGGATGTTTTGCCTCTGCTGGCAACTGTTGTTTGATCAAAAAGACCTCGATGATACCGTTTTGTGGTAAAAGTCCACAAACACTTTTTATCTCATGATTACATGTTCATCAGCTGGGTAAATAAGGGGATTCGATGAACATATGAATCAAAAAGCTATTTTTAGATTTTAATTTGACATTACTTTTAATTACAAATGAACCTATCATTTTGGCATTATTAGAAAATATGACCAATTGCGAAGATTTATATTAAAGTTTATATTTAAAAAAAAATACTATATAGATAAATTACTTACATTTTCTATACCTAAAACCCCTATCAGGGCAGTTAATTAATTATGCACTATCTATGTCACCAATCAACGAACTAGTTTATTTTTAATATTGAGGGCAACTGATTAAAAACACCCAACGTAATGCATTCTTTGAAAGGTAAAACATAGAACTACACATTAGCACAAGTTAAATAACATAGCGATGCTGTAAAATTGTAAACGAAAAAAGTGTGATCTCTATCTATTACTCAAAAGGAGGAGGGGGGCTAAATACCGGCCGTTGATCTACCTTGTGTTAATGGTATTTAGAACGTATATGGATGACAGATCAATTATTGTCTTAAGTGGGCCTTTCTTCGCACATGTCCCATGCATGTTCATTTAGATATTTTCATTGAGATTTATCTTTATCATATAAAAATCTTTAATAATTGTCTAGAATAGTTAAAAGTACACTCTCGCGTTTAATAGCCGGCGCTGATCGGGTCAGGCTCATCATGAGATATCATGTCAGTTTCCCTTTAGAGAGATGGTCTGGGTATCAGAATGGCCAACACTTTAAGCCGTTACTGTTCTTTGTTTCCTTTCCAATCTTTTGACTGAAGGTGTTCACTAAACCTAGCTGTTGCCAGAGGAGTCGCACTGTGATTACACTTTATTTATTAAACCACCACCTTCTGTAATTTATAGCACCCAAGCAGGTTATGTATTTTTGGTAAACAAATGCCCTGTTATGATAAGTCAGGGGAGGAGGTGGGAAACTTTACCTAACTTATTTTAAGTAAGTAAATCTAGCTTACCTTTGACTAAATACCTACTAAGCTGTATTGTAAACGAGTCTCTTCTGCACAATCTAAATTGCTTGTCAGCTGAACAGGGAACAAAATGAAAGAGGGAGCTAGGAGTCTACTGACATCTGGTTCCTGCAGCATACTATAGACCTATTAATCATTTTTGTTTAACTTAACAGTTCTATAAAGAGTAAGAGTAAGAAGAAGCGACATCGATGTTTTGAAGGTGCACTTAACTTAGATGTTGCCAGAGGGGTCGCACCCATTAATCAAAGCACCCAGGCTTTTTTGGTAAACTAAGGCCCTCTTACGGGAACAGACTTTTATCATAATAATGATGGACATGTAATGCTATAATGCTAATAATTTTTCACAATTTTCATTATTGCTACCACCCATTGTAATAAACTAATAATGTAATAAAACAGAATATAAAAAATCATAATAGACCGACATGACTTCCTTTCCTACCCGAGTGCTTGATATTGTAGGCTATTCAGTCCGTAAAAATCTACGGCCCCTTAACCTTTCTTGTGAGGCTAAGCCACCAAAACCGCTGGTCAGTATCAAGTATAAGTAAAGAAAATAGGATTACATTCTTCAAATGACATATAAAATTTTACTTTACTTATATGACATGGGAACTCTGGAGTATGATAATTTGTTCATATATCATGCGTGGGCGCCACAGTTCAACGATATATCCCACCACTTAAGAGGGTGGTTTCCTAAAGCCGATGGACGAGTGCGCATCATTCTCGCGCATCTAACTTTCGGTTTCGGTTTCGATGCCGTGATTTTGTTATTTTACTGTATATTACTCAAATAAATAAAACTTATGTTCAAAATGAATGAAAATGGCTTTATAATATTTATTTGTGGTGAGAGAATTAGTTGCACGGAAAAATAAGACACTCTATTGTCGTAATTTTGGAACGTCTCGGAAACTCCTCACCAATTATCGCCCACCTAGAAACAAGATGCTGCATTGATGACGGGACGATTTCAGTCTCAATCGGGCAAACAGTGGAGAATCGTAGCATTAAACATCATAACAACTGTTTATGAAGGTAAGAAGTATCGAATTCCATATCATTTTCTTTTTGTTATCGATTGAAATCACCATATTTAAAGGTAGAAATCGCTTCCTGGTTCTCGATCGGGAATCGTTGTCATTTGCGTAATATTGATTTGATTGGAAAATTCTCATAAATTCCCTTGAAATTTAGTATTTAATGTAATAATTTGGTATGTTAATAGTAGATGGTAGTGTTATATATAAATACAATGGATTATTTTGTGATCGTATGCATATAATCACTGAAATTCTTCTCAAAATTACATATGAATTTATTTTGGGTGATCGATTCGTCATGACCTTGATCTTACAAAGCCCATGTTCAAACTCAACAGCTTTTCATGTCCCAGAGATCTCCCATGCGGGCAGAGTCGGGACAACTTAAACGAAATGTTCACTATATTTGACTGCCTATCACAGTAAAAGTACATTTTGATGTGGGCAAAAAGATAATTTTGTCATGGAAAATTACCATGATGTACATGTTTGTGTACATGTATTAAAAGTGTTCTGTGCGGGAGTACACAGCAATCACATGCAGTTATCATAATCAATAAATATTTGGGCACAGATAGTCCAACAATATTAGACCTAGCCTGGGGCCTGATTTCTTATCTGGCATGTCTTATGGCCCCGGCGTTGAACTAGGGTATGGATAAACATGCTACGTGTACTGTACATGTGCTGTACTGCAGTATAGTCGAAACTGTACATTTATATGTTTACTGTATCAGTATTAGATATTATAGAACATTATATGACGTCTCAAGTTTCATTTTATTCTTGATATACTTTCAAACTTTTCCATGTATTTCAGATGACAAGTTACCCAAAACAACAAACAACGGTTTTATGGACCACCAACAGTCGCATCAAAATGATTGGGAGGTTGAGGAAGTTATTATGATTAATGATAAATGATCATGCAATGCAGTTAGATCATTTAGATGACTGTCACGTCATTGTCGACATAGGCCATACATACTTGTCCAGTCATGACCTGGAAGTTTTTGAGTACAGGTAATTGTATAAATTACATGTAATATATTGTTCAAGTCATATAGATAGATGTTATATCACCTTTGCCTGTGTAGGCAATGACTAGAGAATACAATAAATGAATAGACATTAAGGCAATCATTATATGATAATCATGACACTTTTTGACAGGTGTAACTCAATTCCCATCCGATTGAGCCAAGATCACAATATGCCTCAAAATATCATGTTTCTGGCTAAACAGAAAGATGCAATGAGTATCAAAATGGCATGGATACTTTGATGTATGGTATCAAGTGATCTTTCCAGCAAGTACTAAATAACTTTAAGTCTAGTTGTTTTTGTAATAAATAGATTATATACAAGGTGGGCCAAAAAATCCATTGTAACTTTTAGTCATGTATTATCTTCAATACTTTAGGAAATTGAAAAACAATTCATTGTCAATATTGTGTAAATATAATTATTGAATATACAAGCTCAAGCTTTAATTACTCACCTCAAGGATTTCCTGAACACATCCTCTCTAACCACCTGAACAATCAGTCTGAGACATATTATGCCAGTTTTGAAAAAAAGCTGAGGTCAGTAAGCTATATTATCCAAGGGAGAGATGTTTAACTTCTAGAGATAAAAACATATGTTTTAATTGATGAAAAGTGTGGTGAGACCATTTGCAGGGCACATATTGTATGTTAAAAAGATATTTCAGAAGTGATGGCTCAAGCTGAGAAAATTTGAAATTCGTCATGACACATGTAATAGAATACAGATCATGATCAATTGACAAGCCAAAAATAAATACATACACATTTTTATATTTAACATGTTCACCAGTAATCATTTTACATGTTATCTGAATTTTGGTTGATTGAGCTGCAATAATAAAGAAAATTGAAGAAATGGAAAAATTTTCTAATTGTTATTGGCCCACCCTGTAGATATGTAAATTTACAACATATTAATTTATGTTCTGCAGGCCTTGTCTCCAAAGATGTCTTGGGTGCCCAGAAAGTTGGCTTCAGTGGATGTATGTTACACCTGACTAACAGTAATTTGACATTACACAAAATTAGCTAGAGGTACAGAATATAAGAGGTAAGAGAACAAGTAATATACAGTAAAATCTGTCCAATCTGAACATCATTGAGAATGGTTAGAAAGCATTCGGATGGGGAGATGTATTGATTTCGGTTTCTCTATCCGCAAGATTGTGGATTTTAATGCATTCTCAATGAATATTAATATTTCTATTGACCATTTGGGTTCATGGCATCCAAAATCTGAGGCCATTTCATATTTTTCAGAATTTCATATCAAATCAGTCTTAAATTTAAAATATTTGAACAGTTTTGTAAAAATTGTGGAAAGTGTTCAATTTACACATGTTAAATTTTCAAATATGAGTGTCCACTGTTCAAATTAGGATGTTGTCAGATTTCAAGGTTTTTAACATGGGAGTCAAGTCAATGGGAGGAAAAATGGAGTCAGAAATTGTGTTAGCATTTGAAGGTGTTTGGATCAGCCAGGTGTTCAGATATACAGGTTTTGCTGTATGGGATTAACTCATCATTTTTATTATCAAAATAAGATTATAAGTAAAATGTTTGCATCTAATTGAGTAATGATAATTTTCTTACCTTATTCAAAAAGAAAACTACACATAGGCCTTCATAATTTGGTCCTGATTACAATTTTAACACCATGATTGGAATTCCAATACTATGTAATAACTATAAATTTGGATAATGTTATGCTTGAATGAAGTAACTGCATTCATATTTCTTTTATATCAATGGT